CTCTATAGACTGAGGACCACCAGCTCCTCGCGTACCCCTTTAGGAGAAGAAAAAAACATATTGTACTTTTTCCTCTGGGGTCGCATAAAGATACTCAAACACATCTTCCATCTCTCTCAACCACTCTACTACAGTATCTGGACTCACTTATCCCTTGAAGTCCCTACCACCCGAACTCTTCATCTTTGCATAATCTAATACTGTCGGTCTTGCATCAACCGCCCCCACTCCTCTCGACTGGTCAGTAGGAACATTATCACAGCTTCCGTGCGAGCTACAAGGAAATATTGTCCCTAGATTGATCCACACAAAATTCATTCTTCACCAAATCTCTCACTTGGTTAAAACAAAATTTTCCCAAAATAATCACTTGAAAACATAGAAGTTCAAAACTGAATTTTGAAAACCATGATGCAGATAATTTCATCCAACATACCAATACACATAATCATGTCAAACTCAATTCCCAGTTTAAGTCATTATGGGGTACTCCCCTCCTTAGGAGTGTTTAACCTCCCATAGGGTATAGTACGCCATAACAGCAAAAAGAGGGAACCAGGCTCTGATACCAAACTGTAACACCCTACTCTATACGTTTTGCCTAATCATATTGTTCATACAATTGCAGCAGAATTAATCTCGGGTGTTACATTAATTAACAAAATTTACCCAAATAAAATTTTGACATGAATTACTCGCGTAATGGGCTAACAGTTCTTGCAACTTATCCTGCAAAATAATTCATCACAAACATATATACTCACAACCATATGCATTGGCTTTTCTTAGCCATAGTCACACTTTTAATACTCCACAACTGCATACCATACTTATACATAGCATAATCGTCACAACTTACACAGTTACACAACATATACACATATCATCAACTTTCCACACCTGTGGATATCTCACACTACATCAGAAGCTAGTATGCACATGAAAAACGTTCTCAAAACATTTTTACAAAAAAGGTGTGGATCACTGGCCAAAATCCCGAGTAGTCATCCAAGCACCGAATAGTTGAAGACCATACCTCATCCTGCCTTCAACTCTAGCTCCTCTCCCACCTAACACTTATCTACTGCTGCTACTGATGATCTGCTTACACATAGCATAAGCAGAGAAGAAGAATAAAAGGGGGTCAGCTCATAGCTGAGTGAGATAATCATAGCATCGTGAGTTCATAACAGAGCATACCCCTATCACACATCTAACAATCAAGCCAAAACACTAGGATCGAACCTCAGCCATCCTCATATCCCAATAGGCAAAAGACTCAACTACCTTGACTTATGCATATGCAGCTTATCATGTTTTAATCATAGGCGCCTGGCTACTCCCATGCTAATTACTCTCCCGGGAATACGGACCAAACATCTCGTGGATGTGGTCATATCGGACCCACCACTACCGGTGTAGTCATATCGGACCTGACACCACGCTGGGTGTGGCCATATCGGGCTCAACACCACTCTGGGTGTGGTCATATATCATGATGAATCAACGGTCAACACCACATCAGGGGTGTGACATAACATATCATAATGGAGTAATAGCATGGGGAGCCCTAATTACTATGTAATTGACCAAGAGACCAAAGTACTCTTACTTGGTATCCTTATCCATGATCCATATCTCATCTTTCTTAATCATAATTCGCTACTTGCACATGTACTTGACCTGGCCACAATTGACCCAAAATAGGTAAATCATGAGTCGTATAATTGCACTTCCTCGGGATACACCCTCGTGCAAGTCATCCTCCTTAAACGTCATAATATCACCAGGGAATATATATTTTCCCACATGTGCATCCAAATACAACAATCATGAAAAATCATACCCAATCACCTTTTCGAACCATCATAAGGCATATCAACAGTCAAGCCCACAATTTGCAACATATACGAAATCATCAGCATAAACAAGGTCCATCTCGATTAGGGCAAGTCAATAATAACATACAGTAATCCATGTTCATCATATAGCACAAAAGTTCATACACCTTTAATCATGCCATTCTAGTTCACCTAGGTCAATTCTAAGCATCAATATAATTATCGTGATACGACAAACCCGGTATGTCGTGCTAATCCCTCACCAGTTCTGGTCGTTCAAACACCGGTTTAACCTTCCCGTACTAAAACGTCAATTTCACGAACAAACCCCGAATTAAAATCCAAGACCGTCCTAATATCCCCTGTAGTATCCCCGTCAATATTAGTTCTAGGCTCCGGGTCAAATTCTTGATAAAAACACATCAAACCCTGGCCGGAGCTAAATTCAGCGGTTTGGACCCCGGCTTAAATAATTGCCGAAATTCAGGGATTTGAACTAGAGGATTGATTACCTCGCTGCAGGAAGCTCGTATATGAAATTTGGTTATGATGAAGAGTAAGTATGACATAATACGATGAAAACAAGAGATGTGTTGTGGTCTTGCGGACATGTCGTGTGACATGATCAACAATGAAGGCGGTAATGAAATGGATGTAGATTAGTTTAATAAATTATTAACAGATATGATATTGCAAAGGAATGGGATTAGGTGCTAATCCTTATAGGGGTTAGCACCGTGATAACTAGCAAAAAACGCTATTAAAAATAACGAAATCACTACGGATTATTATAAAATCAATACAACGCTATTAAAAATAACGAAATCACTACGGATTATTATAAAATCAATACAACATCTAAGCTAAGGGGTCGTTTGCTTCATGGATTTATAAACGAGGGTTTTGTAATTTAAAAACCCAAGGATTTATCAAGGATTTGAGGCATCATGGATTTGTAACAATCCTTTGTTTGTTGGGATGTTTTTATCATGGATTTAAAGGTGTGGGATTTACTACTTGAAGTCAAAAATTACATTACTGCCCTTTTCTATATGTTTGACATGTTTATGATATGTATACAAAACAAGGACAAAACTTCAAAATTACCTTACTATGATTTTCTATATGTTTGACATGTTTATGATATGTACACAAAACAAGGACAATACATACTAATAAGCATAATGTTGCCACACGGACAATAATAATAAACGAGAAAATTCCGTTTTAACTTTTAACGTAACATAATCAATTACCAATTCTTTGTCCTCCTTTTCAAAAGTAACATATAACAACATATATTAGAATCGGGAGAACAAAGAATTACACGTTCCATGAAAAGGTCAAAGAAAACTAGAACACAAGAAATGATATAAAATATCTAACTCATGTTTGCACATTAATTGAACGTTTATATTATTCATTTATTGTTAATTATAAGGGCTAATACCATTAGAAATACCAACCTTTAGCGAAAATGCCATTTATATTACGTAACTTCCATAAATACATTTACGTTACAACCTATTGGGTGTTTGTGCCATTTGTGTTCCGTGAATTTCTGTTGACCGTTAGATCTAACGGTTGACCTAACGGTGGTCAACCTTTATATGCCCATTGATGAAGTGGCACCTATGTGTTATCCACATAGGCGACACGTAGATGCCACGTAGGAAAATAATATTTAAATTAATTATTTAATAATTAAATAATTAATTTTTTAATATAAAATTAATTTTTATCCCGCCCACCCTTTTTTTGCTGGATTTCTATTAATCCCTAGTTTCTAAATATTCCTTCCTAAACCCCATGGAAATGTCGATTTTGCTCCAATCCCTGAAAAATTGGTGACCCATCCTCTGCTGATTTTGCAACTTCCGATCTCTGCTCCGCCAGTCACCGCCGCCTCTGAAGTGCCGAGCTGGAAGAGGTAGGAGAAGAAGAAGGAAGCCCAAACCCACCCCCGCGTCGTCTCCTCTTTCCATCGTCTCCCTTCGCACTTCCCTATCCGACGTTGCCCTTCGTCCTCATTGTTGCTGCCGAGCTCGAGGAGGAAGAGGCTCGTCGCCGTCGAGCAGGAAAGAAGAAGAACCCGTCAGGCGGCGGTAGGGTCTGGTAGCAGTGGCTGGACACCGGCCGATTTCCTTCGTCGTCGGCTTCTTTCTCAACAAAAAAGGAGTAGCCGCAGCGGCGGGGAGAATCTCGGCGATATCAGTAGGTGGTATATGGGAGTAGCGGTGACGACGCTTATCACCGCCACAGATTCTTTGTGGTGTTCAAAATCTGGGCTTGAGGGAATCGAGGGAAGGTGGGAGTGCGAGAATCGAGGTGAGGGGAGTGGTGGATGGCGGGAGCCGTTGTGGTGGCGGCGACCGAATTGGAGAAGGGGGAGATGAAGAAACGTTGTGGTGAAGGGGAGAGATGGAGAGAGATAGGGAAAGATGAAGAAGATACTTTTTCGGTTTTTCCTTTTTTAGCTTTTAATTTTTTTTGTTTTGTTTTTTTTATAATTATTTTTTATTCAAAACTTCCACATCAGCTGCCATGTCAACGCTGACTGTATTTTCTGTTAACTATTAACAGAAAACTTAACGGATGGTATACAATTGTCATATCGAAAATTATGTAATATAAATGACACTTTCGCTAAAGCTTGGTATTTCCAGTGGTATTAGCCCTAATTATAATGTATAATAGTTAAATTTGAGGGCAACCTTGGAATATTAAAATTGCATGAGGGTATATGGGTAAAATGTCATCAAGGATTTATGTCATATTCCAAATCCCACATCAACATGTGGGATTTATAAGTCCGTGGGGTCCACGGATTTGGACCCTTAAAATCCGTGGCCCCACGGATTTGGTCTCCAAAAAATGTGCAAGCAAACAACGGATTGTACCTAAATACTTGATAGTTGGTTTTTTGGTACCAAATTCATGTACCAAATCCTTGAAGCAAACGACCCCTAAATCACTACTAATTCAAAATAGTAGTAGTTTTTCCCTTGGTTAGAATGATGCTAACTATTGTACAGTTAGCACCGTAGCCGTTACCTATTGCAAATCCTTGCTATTCATTGACAGCACACCATTTGAAAAATACGAGGTTTTGCATTTCCCCGCCCTTAAAGGTAAAAGAAAACTGAAAAATGAGGGAAAACGAACTTGGCAGTTTTGTTTTCTGTCTCACTCTCACTCACATACTGACGCCCAGCTCTCTCCGACTAAAACCCTCGCTTTGCCCGGACGGCCACGGCGACGGCGACGGCGACGAAGAAGAAGTAGAAGAAACCGGAAATGGAAGACGACGATCAGCAGAAGACTCTGGATCTAGTCAAGGAGCTAGTTCATCGTCTCCTCTCCCACAATCCCACTGCACCAAACAACGCCGCCCAAAACCCTAACCCTACCGATCTCAACAACTCCTTTCGATACGCCGTTCGCATTCTGTCCAGCAAGCTCACACCTTCCATTGCCCCTGATGCCGACGCCATCGCGGAGTCAATCAAGCGCCGCCTCGCCACTCAGGGTAAGTCCTCCAAAGCACTCTCCTTCGCCGATCTCTACAACAAGTTCGCCTCCAAGACTGGGGCCGGCAGCATCAACAACAAGTGGGCGGTTCTTTATTTGCTCAAAATTGTATCCGAGGACAGGAAAGTCTCCCAGGCCTCGCAGAATTCCGCCCTTCTTTTGCCCAATTTGACTCTGGATGACCGTGAAATTGGCGGAGATTCACGCAATTCGAGGAGAGGGGATAAGGGTTGGGAGAATGGAGTTTTGGTGGTGGCCAAAGACCCTGAAAATTTGCGTGAGATTGCGTTTAGGGAGTTTGTGAATTTGATCAAGGAGGAGAATGAGGTTTCCGAGGAGGTCCTGGTGAGGGATGTTTTGTATGCTTGCCAAGGGATTGACGGTAAGTATGTGAAATTTGATGCAGATCTCGATGGTTATGTGTTGCCAGAGAATTTCAAAGTCCCCAGGTCTACTAGAACTATGGTAAGGAAGCTCTGTGAGTTAGGGTGGTTATTCAGAAAAGTTAGAGGGTACATCACTGACAGTTTGGATTCGTTTCCTACCGCAGAAGTAGGAACAGTAGGCCAAGCATTATGTGCTGCATTGCAAGATGAACTCTCTGAGTACTACAAGTTGTTAGCTGTGCTCGAGACACAGACAATGAATCCTATTCCACTGGTTTCCAGGTCAGCTGCTTCGGGGAATTATCTATCTTTGAGGAGGTTATCAGTGTGGTTTGTGGAGCCGATGGTGAAAATGAGGTTAATGGCTGTTCTGGTTGATACGTGCAAAGCCTTGAAAGGTGGTGCCATGGCTGGTTCTATACATTTGCATGCTCAGCATGGTGATCCTCTTGTCCACGAATTCATGAAAAGCTTGCTCCGAAGGGTATGTTCTCCCCTTTTCGAAATGGTTAGGCGGTGGGTTTTGGAAGGAGAACTTGAAGATATTTTTTCAGAGTTCTTTATTGTGAGCGAGACAAAGGAACTAGAATCTAATGTGAGCCAAAAGGCAAAAGAGTCTCTTTGGAGGGAAGGTTACAGGCTTCATTCCATGATGCTTCCTTCTTTTATTTCTCAGCCCCTAGCTCAGAGGATTTTGAGGACTGGGAAATCTATAAACTTTCTGCGTGTGTGCTGCGATGATCGGGGATGGGCTGATGCTGCCACAGAGGCTGCCGCTGCAGCAGGGACAAGTACTAGAAGGGGAAGTCTTGGATATGGGGAAACTGATGCACTTGAAAATCTGGTGGCTGAAGCAGCAAAGAGAATTGATAAACATCTGTTGGACGTTATGTACTCAAGGTATAAGTTCAAAGAACACTGTCTTGCAATCAAGCGTTATTTACTGCTTGGCCAAGGTGACTTTGTTCAATATCTAATGGATAGTATAGGAGAAGAGCTTTCTGAACCTGCTAATACCATCAGTTCATTTAAGTTGGCTGGCTTTTTGGAAAGTGCAATCCGATCATCTAATGCTCAATATGATGACAGAGACATTTTAGATAGGGTGAGGGTGAACATGATGGTTCAAAGCACTGGCGACAGGGGATGGGATGTATTTTCACTGGAATATGATGCTAGTGTTCCATTGAACACAGTGTTCACTGAATCTGTAATGGCCGAGTATCGAAGAATTTTTAATTTCCTCTGGAAGCTGAGGCGAGTTGAGCATGCACTTATTGGTGCTTGGAAAACGATGAAACCAAACTGCATTACCTCCAATTCCTTTGTTAAGCTGCAGGGTGCAGTTAAATCACAGTTACTTGTGACATTGAGGCAGTGCCAGGTATTGTGGAATGAGATGAACCATTTTGTCACAAACTTACAGTATTACATTATGTTTGAGGTACTGGAGGTATCATGGTCAAATTTTTCAGACGAGATGGAAGCTGCAAAGGATCTCGATGATCTTCTTGCAGCTCATGAGAAGTACCTTAATTCGATTGTAGAGAAATCTCTTCTTGGTGAACGGTCTCGGCCCCTTTACAAGTCACTTTTTGTTTTATTTGACCTCATATTACGTTATAGAGGTCAGGTCGATCGATTATACAAAGGCATCTATGAGCTGCAAGCAAGGTACTTAGTCTCTTCTCCTGTCAAAATATTTGCATGTGGGCGTCAAATGTTAGTTTTTATTTGTACTGTCAAAATGTGAAGCTTTTTAGTTCTATTTTCTCCAGAAATGCTGTGTCTTTACCTTCCAAAGACAAGAGAAAGTCATCAAAACAGACTGCAAAAAAACCATCCGAGCCTCCTGGGTCATGGATCGGTGAAGGAAGGAAGGCCCTAACACAACGTGCCGGAGAGTTTCTTCAAAATATGGGGAAAGAGTTGGGCGCCATCGCAAAAGAATATACATTACTACTGGAAGTTTTCTTATCCGAGTTGCCTGTCCAGCAGCACATTGATTTGAAATTCCTTCTTTTCCGGCTTGACTTTACTGAGTTTTATAGCCAACTGCATCCCACTAAATGATGTTAAGTTGCTGGCACTTTAGAGTTCCCACCGCAACCATAGTTACCGGAAAGAAATGGCCAGCGCTTTCCAATAAGGCTGATTGCTCAAACCCATACCGCTGAAGAAGTTTGCTGTTTCTCTCGCTGACAACAAGTGGGCCTTTTTTATCTAGGTACTGGAGCTTGACAACCCCTCAAAGCTGCTCGCTTGATTTACTATCTCACTTTTAGTCTTCTGGTCAGAGATCTGATGATGTTTTTTGTTTGATCAATTGCAGATGGTGTGTTCTACTTTGTGAGGATTTTCATGAAAGTTTGGGATCGTGGAAGAAGGTACTTTGTGCCTTTAATTGATTTGTTGTTAGAAGTAGTGGTAACTGGTTCAGTGTGATGCCTCACCCTTGTAGAAAAAACTGGTTCTGTGATTGTTTGAGCGGTGATTTCCTTCCTATTTTGGGATGCAGTAGCCTTGTTGTTTTGTGTTCTATAGTCTTGCAGTTACGAAATGATACCAGTATGGTGGTATACTGTTTTTGCTTTCACTTCCACTATTTCACTATCCAACTCTACAATTCAACAGTACAATTGTGTTTCGATATCAGGTCTGCAAAGATTACCTGGCTCTTGCTGTTTGTTTGGAAGATTGCAGTGAGTTGTGGTTTATTTTTGTAACAGTAAATGTTAGTAGTTTCTTTGCTCTTCTGATTCACATATTGTCAGCTCCATTTTACGGTTTGTGTCTCTTCAGAGCTCTGCTGGCAGAAAAGCAGTGGGCTCGAAGTGTAGTTCAAAACTTGAATTAGATGCAGACTAAAAGGTATCTGGTTAGGCAGCAAGATAAGCTTTAGTCGTTAATTGACCACTCGCTCTATTTCTCTGGAAGGGATTGTTTGGCTTATTCGCTTGCTTTATGTGTCTCAACGTTCATGTTCTCTCTTTTCACAGATTAGTTGTTCAGGAAATTGGCAAGCAGCCATTATGTTGCAGACTTTTGCTGTTAACAGCAGAAGAATGTGTAGTTGATTGCACTTCGCAGAATTTTCCTCTGAGATTTGGATTGGTGCACTTGATGCTTGATTGATGGATGCTTATCATGCTGGTGAATATCTTGGTGGAATGAGTTGATGCCACAGTCAGTCTTTGTTGTAATACTGGTGAACTATAGTAAATGCCACTTCCAGTTTTTATGCGTAGTCAAGTAACCCCGGTGTAATTTTGGTGTCAGTTTGCTAATGTAAAAGCAATGAACATTGCAATTCTTCTGTGTCCAAGTTCTCGATAGCGAACACGACACCAGGTTAGATTATGGGATAACTGTGATTCAATAGGATTGCTTCCATTTTATCAATTCACAATAACTGTATGACACTAAGCGGTCGTTTGGAAGTTGTGATTGTTTTGTTGAGATTGTCATTATGCATGTATTGTTTACAATGCATTGTTTTTTTAACAGAAATAATATATGGATTGTTTCTGTGATGTGACAGAAACTATCACTCATTTTGAGTGATTGTTATATCTCAACTTTTAGTTGTGATTGTTGAAATAGTTGAGTTTTGATTGTTTTGTCTCAGCTTTTAGCTGATGCGACATACACAATCACACATACCAAACGTTGTATTCTACAATGCATCAAATTCGACAATATATGTATAATATTATACATACATTCTCAACAATACATCTATTTAACAATCGCAACTTCCAAACGACCCCTAAGTGTGTTATGTTCTGCCGAACTAATAACAAAGGATGTCTAATTTCCTTCATTAACCCACATCATCAACAATGGAATAATGTTGTGTTGTTAATATTTTGTATTTAGTAACCTATTTTCTTGTAGTGAATATAAATAGGCCCAACCGATTCCTCTTTCACCATCGGACGTACATAAGTCACTCCACAAATACAGCAAGGATTTGTGAGGTACAATCAGTTATTGGCCAAAAAAGCACCATGGATTGGTATGTGGGAGGCTCGTCATACGCTTGCAATTGATGGCATCCCAATGGTGAGGCTAATGGGGTACCAAGATGAATACATGGTTTGGTACCGCAAGTTCACAAAAAGATGGTTAACCAAACGTGGTGTCGTGGTCGGTTCGTTGGTAAGCATACATCTATTTTCTAGAGTTGTCTGAATGATCGGGTTGTTCTATTTTCTAGAGTTGTTAAGTTGTTCAAATTTTCTAGATTTGTCCGTATGTTTTCAGTTACATTAGTTTCCTTAATATCTAGTCCTCAAATTACAACATAAAGTCCTCAAATTACAACTTAAACTTCAAATTATAACATAAAGTCCGAAATTACAACATATAATGAACTGGTGACATCTAACTTGGACTTGAAAACACAATGACTTGACAGCAATTACTGGAAGTGCATCGAAGTCATCCACCTAAGGTATGTTTCCTCCCGGTAAATGGCTGAAACTGCTTATTCTCCGCTTCAACTGCTGTAACCACAGGTCTAACTTGCACTCTCTTTGGCTCTGCCTCAACACTCTGCATCTCTTCATCAACCGCTACTGCCTTCTCATTCAACCTCCTCGCTACTCCAGTGAACGGTATGAAACAGCGGGGACCACCCACTCCCTCTTCCCAAAGCTCCTGCGGCGCTGGTGCTGGGGCTGGCGCCGGCTCTTTGTAATCCAATGGAACAGCGAAGTCCACGGCGCAATCCGTATCAATAATGCAGTTGGCATCATGAGGCTTGGTCTCTACAATGTCGATGTAGAACTTCTTGCTACCCAGGTCGATAGTAATGGTGTCTCCGGTGGTCAGGCAGGAGAACTTGGCGCTGAGAGTCTGTTCCAACACCGTTTTCACGTCCCTTATTGCCAAGAAGGCGACGGAATGCGGCTGAAGCTTGGCGAAGGTGCCCTTTTCGAGAATGGTGAGTAACAATGAGTAACCAAATCTGGACCCTTCTTTTAGATGGTTGCAGATCTAAGGGTGGAGAATTAAAGGAATTTATTTTCCCTAATTTTCTTAATTGGATCATTTCTTCTTCATTCTAACTTGGATTTCAATTTTTTTTGCACAGATGGAACGAGTTCGTTGTGCTCTACAAAATGATATCCATTTTCAATATTTATTGAGAAAAAAAAAATTCATCCCTCTCGTTACCAACTCCATACCATATGGTATCTCCTTTGTTGTTTAGTCATTTTCGGAAATTTATGCACAAAAAGAACAATTTAATCATGATCTATTGGATTTCAAAATTTTTTGGGGGGAAAAATTCCATACCTCTCGTTATCAACTCCATACCATACTATACCACTCTGGTATGAGGTGGTATTTTTCATATCATATGGTATGCTGTTATTTAATACCAGTCAATACCATATGGTATTGACTGGTAATAACTAGCAAATTTTTTTTGTTCCAAAAAATATCAAAGTGGATATCATTTTGAATCATTACCAACTCCATACCATACTATACCACCCTGGTATGAGATGGTATTTTTCATACCATATGGTATGCTGTTATTTAATACCAGTCAATACCATATGGTATTGACTGGTAATAACTGACAAATTTTGTTTGTTCCAAAAAATATCAAAGTGTCATTTTGAAAAGCACAATTAATCTGATCTAACTATGCAAAAAAAAAATTAATTCCGAGTTAAAACGAGTGAGAAATCGTTCGTTAAAGATTAAGGAAAAGAAAATTAATGATTTTTCCAGGAGAGAAAGGAGGCGCTGATGTGACAGATTCTTATTGGGTTATGCATGGAGTTACTCACCACAAGGTTACTCACCGGATCTACTCTCGTTCTATGCAGAACCTCCAGGGCCGATTCCGACATTATGGTCAGGTTCCCCTGTTCTAGATGCTCCCTGTTGTTCCCGCTTATCGGGCGAAAAATGTAGAATCGCTGGAAAGGATAGCGGCTTTCATAGTCTTCGGAGTAGTCGATGTTGTCGTCGTCGGAGCTGTGCTCCTCGTCTCTTACAGCATGGACAGTGCGATCGCTGTCGACACCAGACCCTTCGGCATCCTCACCTAAGCTTTAATCCTCCTCTCCTAGGGCTGGGACGGTGTTATCGCTGTCGACGTCGTAGCTTTCTTCCTCATCTGTTTCGGAAGAGACGGTGTAATCACTGGCCGCGTCTGAGCTATCAAAATCCTGGTCTTCGCTCTGCTCGTCGTCTGTTATGGTCTCTGCCCCGCTCTCCTCTTCTTCTTGGGTTTCGTCTTTGACGATGACTCCATTGGTATGTACTGGAACATAGGCGGTGGCTTCTGCCGTCTCCGGCATGATAACCACTGGGTTTGGGGAGCTCTGATCATCAGTGGCATGATTGGCTTCCATGTCAGCGACGAGGATGAGAGAAATCTGAGGAAGAAGGAATCGAAAACCTGTAGCCGGAAAGTAGAGAGTATTGGTTAGAGTCTCGGGAGGCGTGTCATTTTAAATAAAGAGCAGATTGTACGGGATTCGGCCATTGGAACTCTTGAGAGCCACGAAACCTCGATAGGGAAAACAAATTTCTACCCTAATTTCGAACGAATGCTTGTCTACGCGTTTGTTATGTTACTTTACCAAATCATCTATAGTTGACAAAAAAAAACTGAAAATAAAGTAGCTCATCGAGAACTTTCACTTTGTTCGTTGTCAACCCGCGAGTCGACCCGGACCCGATAAAACTAGTGGGTCAGGGGTTAATAGGTCACCCGTTTTAGTCCATTTTAGTTTGGTTTAGCTTGGAAATATGAAAAGAGTCATTATACTGTACTCCAATATAGAAAAAAATGCAACACTAGTAAGGTTGTCAAACCACATAAGCAATCCAAAATTCCAAATAATTACTAACACTAAAAGTCTACAACAAACCCACAGGCTAATTGTTGATACAAATATAATATTTTTCAAAAAAAGAATATTATATGCAAGATAAAAAAGATATGTCTAAGTAGATACAATTATGTACCTCTAAAAGTATTTGATATATCACAAATATACAATTTACCTCTATAGATATTAATTTATGCAATTACAAAGTGCTTTATAGCAACTAATATAAAATGTGCCTCAATAGATGTTATAATTTACCTCTAATATTAATTTATTGGGTTAATTACATGATTGGTCATTGGGATTACAAAAAACGTTCATATTTGGTCACTGGAAATATTTAAATCCATTGATGGTCACTAATTTTAGTGAAAACGTTCACGTTTGGTCACTCTCCGTTAGTCTTCGTCCATCTCTGTTAACACGCTCCGTTAAGTGCTGACGTGGCAGACGGAATCTTCTAATCAGCCCTATTTAGCCCAAAAATAGTAAGACCCGACCCACCACATCACTAAGACCCGCCATGACATCTGGACCAACCCAACCCTCTAACCAAACCTAACCTGTAAACCGACCCACACAAATTAAGTCCCTAAATCTAAAACATATCCACTTATCCCCTTCTTCGATTGTGCCTCCTTCCTCCCAACTTTCTTCCTCTTCCCCTTTGTTCGATTATTCACCTGATAAACGCCATGATCCTCCCTTAACATTTTTCTCACTTCTTCCTTCACTCATTTCTGGACGAATCGGGATGGAGAAAAAGGAAAGGCGACAGTCCACAATAAGATCCAGATCTGAGACCCCAATCAGACGATTGGATCTTAGGCGGCGGCGCCCTAATGCACTAGAACCGCAAGCAGCAACACATGGCCATCAGCGGGGGTCGTAGAGGAGACGAAAGACAATGTTGAACGGTGACGAAGAAATTCGGGCTGCAAAGTTTCCGAAAGGAGTGACATCAGGAGACATGCGAGTCGGCGGGGGCAGTGGGAGGAGCCGGGGGAGAAGCAACAAGAGGTGTGGTCTTCATCCGTAAATAGATCTTTTCTTGCTCTTTCCCAATCTCAACTATTAACTCCAATAAACTAGAGAGCCTCTCTCCCTTCTGCTTCGCCTTGGAGATAGTGAATTTGGATGCTGTGTACTGTGGCGCCGACGGTAGCTAGTGGGTGGGAGGTGGGATTTTTGGGCCTCCGTTGAAGTTGAAAATCAGAGGTGCCTCTGCCTCACTCTACCTTCCTCCAAGCTTCCACCAATGAATTTAAATATTTCAAGTGACCAAATATGAAGGTAGGTGCCTCTACTACTATTATTATGTTCAATTATATTATACTTTAGTTAGTCTTAAACAAGTAGTAGCGGCACTTTTATCTAATGTGTATATTAGAGTCAAAATAATATGTTGGCAAAAGTAAGATATATAAAAAGAGACACGGTAGAGTTTTCCTTTTGCCTAAAGAATTTATATAATTTTAATCAAATGGGAATCGGAGCAAGAGAACGGGTAGTTATCATAAATGGTCACAAACCTGTTCACTTTGTACAAAACGGTAACAATTCTTTAAGGGATCGGATAGCGTGACAACCCCTAAGGGGGTTGTCAGTTTCGCTCCCCTTCTTATGGCCGTCCATTCCCTTTTTTATCTGACGGTGGTGATCACGCCAAGGGCGTTTCCGGAATCATGTTGTAATGGAAAAATTTTGAAAAAAAAACCATAAATGCATGGAAAGTAATTTCATCGTGATTGGTGGGTTGCATTTCCACTGACCATAATTGTGCATCTTCCCTACCATTTCTGGTTCTTTCCTCTCCAACCCAAACTACAGTCCTGGAAGCCATAATAATTCCGACGGCCGACCTACAATGGATGGTTATCAACATCAACGTCGACGACAGAGATACAATGGACTGCTCCATCAACAACGACAATGGCAGAGATCGGGTGGGTGCTGAACGGTCGTGGATGTTTGGATTTGACCTGAACGTACCATACACAAGCAACGGAGAAGAGATATATGAGGTGGGAGCTGAAGAGACGAAAAATGACGATGATGTTTGTATGGTGGATGATGCCGACATTTTCGACATGGAGGAGCTGATCAACGAAGAGTTTCCAAAGAACTGCGAAAAGACGGGCAATGTTGCTGATGGCCTGAACGTGTAGAATGGTGAAGACGATGACGACGACATTATAAATGTCGTCGACGCCAATAATCTCGGTAGGGTTAACTAGTGGTGTTAAGACTTCCATTGAAGTGGTAGCAGCAATTTAGAGGTACAACTAATCCAACGACGAAAATGTACCAGTAGTTCTGGTTCAAGTTACGTAGTAGTAGTAGTGGTAGTAGTTGTTGTTTTATGGTAGCGGTAGACACCTACTGGTAGTCATCTAGTGGTAGACACCGTAGTGGTAGTCACCTACTGGTACTTCATTTCTACAAGTATACACCTTGTGGTATAATTAACGTTTTTGGTATTATTATGCTGGAGATATTTGTTGGCTAGTGGTAGTAACCTACTGGTACAATGTTCCAGTGGTATTAGCCTAATGTTATAAGTTACATAGTATGACATCCCATGCATATACTAGTGGTACAATGTACTAGTGGTATTAGCCTACTTGTACCACTACACCAGTACAATTACCACTCGACTGCTACAAATACCACCTTACTTATACCATTGGAGTGGTACATGTAACTATCTACCAATCGAGACCTAGTTCTGTCGGTAGACTATACCACTGAAGTTTTTCTGCTACCACTGTAGAACAAATCAACTAGTGCGAGTTGTACTGAAAATTGATAATAATACTCATCAAAATCAATTGGTATTAATTAAGATGCCACAAGTTCGTCTAATTACATTTCTTCACATTAGGGATAGCAAGAGAACTAAAAGTCAATTGTGGAGCGTCTTGCCATTGAGCCACTTACTCTGCTCAATCATATTACACGCCTCATCGATCCAATCACTTTGCGTGTTTTGGTCAGCACCCATGTCCATCACGTTGGCTACGATTTCCTGAAAGTTATGACGCAAAGTGGACAATCAACAGAATCTTTGTTCTCGCCAATGAATAACGGAATATCTTTTCTCACCATTCCTGCTATAAAAAAACAAACATTGCATTAGTACCCACAGTGTTATCAGTATCACTAATAAAATTACAAGTGACTACTAGTACCAACTTCGACTACTAGTAACGCTAAAACATTTTTGAACCACTATTGCTAGTCCAAAATCCATTACAAGACTACCAGTAGCAAATACCACTATTAAACTACCACTACACTTGGTATCAGCTGTATCATTTTAGCTACCAATATTTAACTACAACTGCAATTGGCACCAGTGGCACAACTACCACTACAACTGGAACCAATAGTGTTGCCCCTGAATTGTACACATGCTACGAATAGAAAAGTACCAATCGTTATACATACACCAAACAGGCAGGACAAGAGAGTCATAGATGCATGTTTGGATTCTAACATTGCAATTGAAAAACAAGCTTATCGCCTAAAGTAACCTCACATGCAATGGTTTACACGGCCACAAAAAGGCACGACAGCGGAAGGATTGTCGTTGATACACTGAAACATCCAAAAAATTGCCAGGTTAGATAAAACAACTCGGGAAGGGAAGAGAAGGGAAAATGAATGGGTGGAAAAGAAGAATCACTGGCCATGGAGAACTTTACCTGAATTGCCTCTCACCGAACCACCAAGCCTTCGATCTAAACAAGAGACCGGGGAAGATGATGGACGGAAATACCGAAACGCCGAGAAAACTGATCGGATACGATGGGAGGGAAGGGTTTTTGGAGAAGTAGAGAAAGTATTTTGGGGGAGACGGTAATTTTGTAGGGAAGGTGGCTGATTTCTTTCCCAAGCCAATTCTTTCGCTTTTCAAACATCGGGTGACGTCATGCCACAATGAGAAGATTCGATCCGGTGCGGCTCTTTCTTTTTTACCCTCGCCCATTATAGACTGCAGATGAAATGGAAGAGGGACGGACAACCATAAGAAGGGAAGCGAAACTGACAACCCCCTTAGGGGTTGTCACGCTATCCAATCTCATTCTTTAATTTTGCATGTTGTTAAAAAGGTTTGAGTGAATAACAAAATGGTCAATCCATCCAATTCTGTCCAAAACTCTGTTACTTTTGCACAGTCAGCTTGACATGTCATTAAAAATAGTAAAAATTGAATAATTTAATTTCGTCACTTTCCTTGCACCATGATTGCAGCGGCGACACCGGAGAGGCGAAGCGAAAGCAATTCATCGTCTACATCCACTCCACTCTCGCCCTCCGCACCCTGGCTTCATCCTAAACGAATTCTGAATCCAAGCCGCCACCTTCGCGCCCGCTGGGTCCGCCGCCTATCACGACCACCTCGTCGACACCGCCATCGATTATGCTCTGCCCCGCGGCGTCGTCCGCGTCCTGGATCTGGAGCTCGGCACCGCAACGCAAAACCCGAGCGTCGTTATTACCTCTTCCTAGATCTGGAGCCTGGATAGAGATTTGAGCGGCATTGTCTTCGGAAAGGTAAAGAATTGAACTCTTTGGTTCCGCCGCCCAAAGGGTATCGCTAACGACTTCCGTGGCCAAGTGTAATTTTGGGAACTGGAACAATGGCACTTTCCTTTTCACTTGGGCGAGTTTAATTTTGGGAAGTTGTTATGTGCTCAAAAGGATAGGGAATATTAGTTGGTTGGTCTGGTTAATATTGCGCCGGCAGTGCCAAGCTCCAAATACAGGACGTGGACGCTGCCGCAGGACAGAGCATAATCAATGATGGCGTCGACGTGGTGGTCGTGATAGGCGATGGATCCAGCGTGCGAGGATGGCGGCTTTGAGTCAGAATTCGTCTACGGTGAAGCCAGGGTGCGGCGGGCGAGAGTGGAGTGGATGTAGTCGATGAATTTCTTTGGCTTCGCCTCTCCGGTGCCGCCGCCGCAGTCGTGGTGGAAGGAAAGAGACCGAGTTACATAATTTTTTATTAATATTTTTAATGACGTGTCAAGCTGACGGTTCAAAAGTAACAGAGTTTTGGACGGAATTGGACGGATTGACCATTTTGTTATTCGCTCAATCCTTTTTTTACCAAAACGTGCAAAATTAAAGGATTGTGACCATTTTGTACAAAGCGATTAGGTTTGTGACCATTTATGATAACTACCCGCAACATAACTAACATAAAATGCCGCCGCACAGCCAGAAACGATATTCGAAACGTGCAGCCTGCTGACCCGCTTGGACGGGCCAACCTCCCTGATTCCCCCGGATTTGATAAGGTTTTTCCGTGTTTGATCATATCCGAACTAACTCTCAAATAGGTTGTTCTAGCCCGTTTTCAAGAGCGAGTCCGGACCAACCCGGGTCAATGGAAACTATGGTGTGGATCATTGGATTGTTGTCTAGTTGTTCTATAAAATTAATGTTTTCAATTATGGGGAAATGGAAAGGGTTGGTTGGGATTTATCGTCGAGGATTGAACTAGTGAGTTCAATGTTAAGGTATTGCAGATATCGCTAGACTAGAAGTTTATGTAATTTTTTTTTACAAAAGATAATAATATATTGATCAGAGAATAGATAGTTACATCCCGGAATTTAACCAGACCATAAAATCAAAGAAGTGACTCGTAGTCGGGTACAAATGAAAATGAAGGGCCTTCTTAGCCATCAAATGGGTTACCCTATTACTACGACGACCTACAAATCGCACAGAGAACCCACTATGGTTAGATAAACAATGCAGAACTTCTTCCAGAAGGGCTCCAATCCGGCTGTCCCTCGTATCCGCCTTATTTATTTTTATCAATAATCGTCTTGCCATCCCCTTCAAACCATATTTGCTCAAATCTGGACGTGATACACCAAAGAATTGTCTCCCGGAGCAAGAGGGTCTCAGCAAGTAAAGGATCGTCAATCCCAGCAAAATGGACCCCTTTAGCAATCAAAACTATCCCTGCTTGATCCATAACAACCATTCCTCCCGCCGAGTGGGATGCATACTTAATAGCCCCATCCCACCAACACACAAATGGACAAGAGGAAATATCCACTGCAGGTTGATCATCCGTGGAAGGAACTCGTTAAGCCCCATCGACAGGTAACTTATTAATTTCTGATACTGCTGATGAAAGTACCGCATAAGAGCTGATTTATCTACTCTTTTCAACTTCGTAAAGGAACTAATAATTTTTCATACTAATTTGTTATTATATTATGTCTGTTTATTTATACTCTCTTCAACTTTTTTGTATATCATGTTATTAATAAGGGTAAATGCTACATTTGGACACTGAGATTACTAAATCATGTCATGTTTAGTCACCAGAAAAAAATAATATCAATTTTGGTCACTCGAATTACTGAAACATGTCACATTTAGTCACTCTCCCGTTAGTTTCCGTCCAACTCCATTATCGGAGTTAGACGGAGGCTAACGGAGAGTAACTAAATGTGACATTTTCAGTAATTCGAATGACATTCATAAAAGAAAAAGTAATTCGAGTGACCGGAGTTTGTCGGAGGATAACGAGAGATTGACTATATGTGACCTGTTTTAGTAATTCAAGTGATCAAAAGTGATATTAATTTTTTTTAGCGACTAAACATAACACGATTTAGTAATCCGGGTGATCAAATGTGACATTTTTTATTTTTTTTATATAAAAACGTATGCGAACATATAGTAAATAAATTTCATTATTATTGTATCTTTCATCAGTGACTGAACAGAAAGTTAAGTAAATATTTCTCATCAGATACAAGGTGAAGGTCATAGTTATTACAGATAAGATAACAAGTCACATCAAGAAACTCTATAATTTCTTTGAACTTTTTTAGTAGTAAAAAGGGCAGAAGACCCAAAAGTACAATGATCTTGCAAGTTATACTTAAAAATATCTCATAGTAGTATTAGCCACTAGGGCTTTGGCTTATGCTCCAGTGGAAATGAGAGTGCTCTTAAGGAGATGGTGGACGCCAAGCGTGGTGGGGAGCAAGAACCCTAACCAACAGTTTAGCCATCAACTGGAAAAAGGAAGACATCTAGACTTGCAGTAAGACAGACCTTCTACTGTCTACTGCACATATACACACATGAGAAGAGATGTCCCTGTACAAATGTACATTTACAGCTAGCTATACAGGGGTAGTTCAGAGCGGTCTCAGGGTGTTTTTAGGAGCACTTATCCAAGGGCTGCCGGCAATGGCAAACCTCCACAATGCATTGACATGTTCTGGTAACGCATAGTCGATACCGACGCGTGGACCAGCCAGAATTTGTTCAGGCTCGGGTGCATCCAAGATCTCCAAACCACCTGATCAATGCGCATCCCTTAACTGACAGAACAATAGAAAGAGACACAAGTTCATAACACCTGAGATTTATGACATCAAGTTGGTTACCTGGAGAATAAAGAGGGTGGTTAGACCATTCAGTTGAAATCCCCAATGCTTGACCAATCTGTGCAAGGCAATTCTCCATCAGTTGGTTTCAGCAAGATGATGACAACCGCCGACCAAATCAACCAGGTAAATCAACAAACTTAAATGCTTGAAACCATATCATCGAACCGTTTCCTAGGGAATGGTAGTTTTCCAAAAGGAATACCTTTATCAATTATCATCGGTCAATTTGCTAGGGAATGGTTCGATGGTAAAGGTAATTTCTTTTGGAAAACTACCATTCCAGGAATGGTTCGATGGTAAATGTAATTTCTTTTGGAACACTGCAATTACCTAGCAAATTGACCGATGATAAGGGTAGTTCCTTGTGGGAATGGTAGTTTTCTGATGGCTTTCCAACTTTATAATAAGGGTAGATCATGCTGGATTCAACAAAAGTATGCAGACTGAAGCAAACAAAGTAAAACTCACCTTGCCAGGACCAGTGAGGAGCACAGGTTTGTCAGTCTCCTGACCTCGTCGCCTCTTAATCGTGTCCAAACCTGTGAGTGAAAGTTTTACCAATCATCACAAAGTAAGAGCCCAGCTAAAGGTGCCATGAAAGCAGCTCCTTAACAACAAAAACACAAGGTGCAGCTGGTGTCACCTAGAACATGAGATGATTCCCAGAGCGGCAGGAGGGACGTGGTATCGAAAGTGACCATGACAATGTAAATAGCAGTTTTCAACAAGCAAAAGGCGGCTTTAACTCACCACTAACAGGAGCACAAGCACGAATAAGTACAGCAGCTCCAACTCCTTCCTCATCGGCCACAACATTGAGCATCGTGTGCAGTCCATAGCAAAGATAAACATATGCATGCCCTCCTGCTCCAAACTATTCCCCAAAAATCAAGTGAACACCCAAATCCCATTGATCAATCATTTCACTTTCACACAGGACTCAAATTCGGCAATCTGAAATAATCCTACCACTGGAGCAGTTCTCGGAGTAATCCCAAATCTGCCATGGCAGGCTGAATCATTAGGTCTGTAAGCTTCTACCTGTTAGAACAATAACAATCAATTCTAATGCAAGGAAAACCCAACAGTTGGGGATGTAAATTCCCGATCAATAAAACAGAAGTAACCTCGGTAATCCGAAGAATGACGTCGTCCCTGCGCAGGAGCTTGCCGAGCAAGCGAGGGGCCAGTTCGAGAGCATCGATTTGGAAGAACACCCGAGGCAAGACGGTGAGCTCCACGGAAGGCGAGAATGGCAACGACGATTGAATTGGCGGTTGCAGTCGAGCAGGATGGCATTTGGCTCTGCCTCTACCTTCAGCCGAAACTCCAACAGCCCTCAACGACCTCACCCGGCGTTGAATCGCAGTGGCTTTCGACTCGATTCCGTCGCGCGATTCAACGGGCTCCAGGGAGCTCGCTGCTCGTTTCCGCCGGGAAGTTGCCTTCATTTTGGTCTTTGGACGACGGCGGGAGCCTCTTCCTCCAACGACGGGGAAGAATGCCGTTTCGTTGACGCTGAACTCTGAAGTCTGAAGTCGTTGGTTGGTACTTGGTTCGGTTGGTCCAATATGAATGAAACGCTACATTGCGTATTGGTCACTCAACTCTATAGTATACGAATATTTACTCATTACATTTTCTATTACATGCTAATTTGCCCCTAAATTAGTTCAATGGTTGAGAAAAGACAGATCAGGAAATCCACAAGGTAAAGTTCTTTCTAGACCCTTCTTAGCCCGACCCGACCGACTTTACCACTTCACCACCAGCTTTCTTTCTAGAACCCTCCAGTTCTTCTCCGTCTTTCCCCAATATTAATCCTCTCCGCCTCCATTCTTCCACCCAATCCCTGCAATTGCAAATCCTCACATCTACTCGCAGAATCAATCTCGAGCTCACCACGCAATTCACTAAGCTCCCCACCAATGGCGAAGTTCGGAGAAGGGGACAAGCGCTGGATCGTCCAAGACCGCACCGACGGCACCAACGTCCACAACTGGCACTGGTCGGAGACCGACTGCCTCGAATGGTCCCGCAACCTCCTCTCCAAGCTCCTCGCTAACCTCACCCTCCTCGATGGCGAAGGAAACCTCTTCATCCGCACCAAGAACATCGAGAAGGTCGAGGGCGAGGCCTACGTCAACATCCGCAAGGGGAAAATCATCCCTGGATACGAGCTCAGCGTCGCTCTATCCTGGGAAGGCGAGGCGAAAGACGCCGACGGCAAGTCCTTGCTCAAAGTCGACGGATCTGTGGATATCCCTTACATCTCCGACGAGAACGCGGATGAGGATCCCGAAATTAGGGTTACAGTGAGGGACGACGGCCCGATCGGGAGGAGATTGAAGGAGGCGATGCTGGCCAAAGGGAAACCGGTGATTGAGGAGAAGGTTAGGGTTTATGTCCAGACTATGGCACAGGGTGGTCCTGCTAAGGACGAATTGGAGGCCAAGAAGGTCGCGCCCAAGGCGCAATCGACGACGGCGGGGAAGAAGGATTCGGGAGCCGCTGCCGCCACCGCTCCGGTGGTGGAGAAGAAGGTTAAAGAGACCAACAGGAAAGGGTTCAAGTCGATAAGCTTGACGGAGAAGTTCAGCTGCAGGGCGAAGGATTTGTACGAGATACTAATGGATGAGAACAGGTGGAAAGGTTTTACGCAGAGCAATGCCAAGATTAGTAAGGAAGTTGGAGGCGAGTTTGCCATTTTTGATGGGTCTGTGACAGGGAACAACGTGGAGCTTCAAGCTGGGAAATTGATCGTGCAGAAGTGGAGGTTTGGGAGTTGGCCTGATGGGATGATCTCCACGGTAAGCAATGAATGACCCTCATTGATTGAGTTGCGGTTTCCTGGATTTGTCTGCTATGCAATTCGAGAGCGATTGTTGAATGATTTTTGAAATGCAGGTGAAACTTGTGTTAGATGAACCAGAGCCTGGAGTGACTATAGTGAAGCTGACACACACCGATATACCAGAGGAAGACAGGTTTGTTATCGTATATATTGGGTTTGAATTATCCTTCATGTGGCCGTTGTTAGTATGTGTATTATGTTCCACCATTGTTGAGCTGTGTTTGGTGTCTTGATGCAGATATGGCAATGCAACAGTGGTGGAGAACACGGAGAGGGGATGGAGGGATCTCATCTTCCACAAGATACGTGCAGTTTTTGGCTTTGGCATTTGAGGTTTTGCAATGTCGGATGAGAGTGCTAGGAAGATGTAGAATTTTTCCAGAATTCAGCATCCATCAATGGAGTCTAAATTAAACAAGGAGTCATTGATGATGTGGGGCGAAACATTTAGCTTGTTCTTATTCTCTCTCTATTTGTTCCTTTGGAAAAGTTTGAAGGATTGTTATGTTGGTTCTTTTGGGGTTTTGGAACTGGTTTCTTTTGTATCTCATCAATGAACGCAACTGGTTTAGCAGCTGTCAGAAAAAGGCTGGGTGGTTTGGTTTCATTTGTTGATGACTTTCACAGTTCACTTGATGGGTTGATTCCGTCTGCTTTGTTACACTTACATTTATAAGTACGCCTGTCGGGGGCTGTTCACTTACAGTCTCAAAACTAAGTTTGGATCTGCTCCACACCACATCCTAAACATTAGGAGCTGCGCAGATGTTTCTCAGCCATAACAAAATATTTTTTTCATTGATTGGAACATTGCTGGAGGATGAGCCAGGCAAACAGCCCCTGAATGGAGCAGCAGTTGCAGCTGCTAGCCTGCGAAGAGGAGCAATTGCATTTGATGGGAAGATGAATAGAAGAACACCGATGAAGGAGGTGGAAAATAATGCTAACAAAAAGATGAACATCCAACAGGTGCCACCTTGCCTTGGTTCCAAATGGCTTCGACAGTCTTCCAGCAGAAAGATCAGGCCATCGACGATTGACCGATCCAGCTATAAAAAACATGTTGCGTCTGCCGGGAGTCGAACCCGGGTCTATTGCTTGGAAGGCAATTATCCTAACCGTTGGACTACAAACGCTTCTTGTAAATAATGTAATGAAAGCTAAATTTACTCCTCAATTTGTAGCACAGGTCCTTTTATATATTGGAAGAGGCAAGGGTACCAAACCAAGTATACATGGGGGAAAATATGCAAAACAACTTAAAGGAATTGAAGTTGTGCTGAGGAGTTCTGTTACTAGATGGGCATAGTGATGAAAATTATACTCGTACTTGTGGATCTTTGACTTCTCTTGGTTTCAAATGAGGAAATTTTGCTCTATTTACCAGTAATGAAACAATATGGAGGAATACTTGTGAGAAGTTTGGATGAATGTGGTCTTGTCCCGCGTATTCAGTACTAGAAGTTTGGTATAAGTATTGAGATATACTGAGTACTATATTGAAATTGTCGATATTTGGTATAATCAAATATACGTATTATTTCATGTGATTGTGATTGTAATTGCGATTGAATTTCAAATTTTATTTGTTTATATGGATTAAGAGATTTTGAATTGTATATACCAAAATATCGAGCAATAATGAAATATAAACTTGTGCGTATTTTAACCCCAACTAGACTTCATCGACAATAAAAATGACCACCTTTTTTCCGTTGGTTGTTTGTCCCGAGATTCGAACTCGGTGTGTGTTGGATGTTCTCATCTTCACATTACCAGTAGTCCAACCCCTTTGGGGTTCTAGCCACATAATTATACATAGCCCATTACCTTACTATTTGGCAACCGAGAAAAAGTCCATTTTGTTACTTGTGGTATGTTTATGGACTACTTATAATTGAGAATTTCCCCATTTGTTTTGCATGAGTGGTGGCACCATTTTCTACTTTTATATATTTTGATAATTCTTTGTGGAGCGGCTTGTAGAGGAAAGTATTTGTTTTTATATTTTTAATTATAATTTTGAAGGGAATAAATTTGATATTTGGTATATACCGATACTGAACAAAATATTAGGGATTGGATACCGAATTCATTTTGGGATTGAAATTGAATTTTAGCGTATTATTTGACATTCAAAATATAGGTATTTGGTACTGAAATACCAATACCGTACCGATATTCACCCCAACACATATTGGTATCCCTGCGGACATGTGTACCCTATATGTCACACTAGTTCTAAATCATGACATAAATTAGTCAGGAATAGAATAATAGAAGTGTATATAACGCACTGAATTAACAAAACAAAAGCTTCATATCTAATCAAAGATAAATTTACATATGTGAATAAAAAGTTCAAGGACTCCATTATCCCAAACCCTTAGGGGTTCTCGAATCTCGATACCTTCCATGTGCAAGAAGAATTCCTCACCCTTCAAGTATCAAAGTACTACTCAGAATAGTTAGTAAATTTTCCATTTAATACACATATAAGAAACCATCTCACTATATTTTTTTAAAAACAAGAAACTAACTTTGATAAGTGACCCGTTTAATATGATAAGTGTGATAAATATTTCAACAAGATGACAAGATCTTATCAAAGCAAATAGCCAGGCCAGACCAGTGCAAGATTGTTGTGTGTCCAAACGGAAAAGAAAGAGAGAAATGAAATGAGGGTGGATCATGGATGTCAACATTTCATAGCCATTTCAACTACAGAAATACAATGTCAACATCCAGAGGATTCATGCCACCCATATACCCTTAGGGCTCGTTTGGATGTATCAATCTATAAATGAGTCAATTTGATCAATTGTGTCGTTTTATAAATGAGGCAATTAAAATGAGTCCATTCGAATTACCTATTCCCACCCCAGGTAATTGAAATTGACTCAAAACGGATCAATTCAAAATACCTCAAGCAGATTGATTCATCCAAATTTTTTGCCGGCAAACGAGGCAATTTGGTACAACTGTCTCAAAACGAGACAATTGTGTCAAATTGATCCGTTACAATTCCTCATCCAAACGACCCCTTATATTTTTCTGCACTTGTTGTTAAGGTAAATGTCACATTTGGTCATTGAGATTACTAAATCATGTAATGTTTAGTCACTAGAAAAAATTAATATCAATTTTGGTCACTCGAATTATTAAAACGTGTCATATTTAGTCACTCTCTCGTTAGTTTCCGACCAACTCCATTAACGGAGTTGGACAGAGTCTAACGGAGAGTGACTAAATGTGTCATATTTCAGTAATTTGAGTGATATTCATAAAAAAAATGACTAAATTACTAGTTTGGTCACTCAGATTATATAAATCTTTCACGTTTGCCACCCGAATTACTTTTCTTTCATATCTGTAACTAACTTTACGAATTGTTTCACCATTAGTCACCAGCTGTCAGTCTCCGTCAGACTCCGTTAACTCCATCACTTATTTGATGATGTGGCAGACAGAATTGCTGACTAGACTATTAGTTTAATAACAGGTCAATTGAAAAATATTAAAAAATAAAAAATAATTAATTAAAAGAATGTTGTTCTAGTCGTTTTTGCCGATCAAATCTCCATCTTCGATTCAATTGCCATCCATTCCACAACTGCAGCAGCAGACTGTCGTCTCTGCTCGCGATTTAGCAGGCGACCAGTTCTTCATACGCACCGCAAGCTCGCCTTCGGCACTAAGGTCGAGACTCTCAATCCCGACAAATGCATCACCGTGTCCACCACCGATTTGCCCTCCGCAGCCAAGATCTTCATCGGCGGCGTCGAGATCACTCGTCGAGATCTGTTCAACAATGGATTTCTCGTGATTCACGATATCCAAGGCTGAGGAGAGGAAGAGGCGGCGACCTTCTGTACAGATCAAGGTTGTCAACCCGCGGGTTGACCCGGACCCGGTTGAGCTAGTGGTCAAGGGTTAATGGGTCATCCGTTTTAGTCCGGTTTAGCCCGGAAATATGGAAAGCTTCATTATATTGTGCTAAATTATATCAAATCTCATCTAACATATGAGTTATAACATATAATATTACACCAAAATAACATTTCGTACTTAGATTCAACATATAGTGAAAATTCACACACACTTATATAACATTAATATTCAAATGTTCAACTTAGGATTCCAAAGATTGAGTTAGGCTAAAAGAAAAATCGGAAAATAGGCGCATTTCGCAAAACAAAGAAAAAATGACACAATTTGACCTCCAACCCGGTACCTTATAGCGGTCGACCCGGCGGGTGCGTGCGGCCCATTTTTCTCACCGGGTCAGAGTCAAAGTGGGTCAACCCGCGGGTCGACCCGCGGGTTGACAACCTTGGTACAGATCTAAAGGTGGGAACAAAGGTGAGAGAAAGAGAGGAGAGAGGGAATGGACCAGATCTGAAGGCAGCGACACCCAACCACCGTGTCGAGGACGTACCACGCCGCTGCAGTCCTCCTTCGCAATGGAGGGTGCTCTTTTACGGGACTGGAGCTTCGACGGGGTGAGGCCGACGATGAAGATTCTTGTTTAATTCCATCACTGTAAGTAGACAACAATGAGAGAGACTCGTTGGCGCTCTTCAATTTTGATTCTCTCAATCTAAAACGAAGCTGAAAAGGCTTGAACTTTCTATGTTAATGAGTTGAATTCGAAAAGCCTAGGTGAATTGGAAGCTTTAACATGATGTCGCAGATTTGGGATTAGATTAGGGATTTATTTTATTATTATTATTATTATTATTTCTTTTTTAAATTGACATGTCATGAAATTAATGGTCCAGTCAGCAATGTCATTTGCCACGTCATCAAATAACTGACGGAGTTAACGGAGACTGACGGCCGATGGCTAACGTGAAACAATTCGTAAAGTTAGTGTGAAAGAAAAGTAATTCGGGTGGCAAACGTGAAAGATTTATATAATTTGAGTGACCAAACTAGTAATTTAGCAACAAAAAAAAGTCAATCGAGTGACCGGAGTTGGACGGAGACTAACGGGAGAATGACTAAATGTGACATGTTTTAGTAATTTGACTGACCAAAATTGATATTAATTTTTTCTAATGACTAAATATAACACGATTTAATAATTCCAGTGACCAAATATAACATTTACCCCTTCTTTTCCAATGTGTTTTCTTCCTTGCTCTTTTTGGGTTAGTTTTGTTGAGTGGGGAAGGTCGGTTCTTTTTTTTTTGAATAGCAATTTCATTGATTCAAGCCCGAAAGGGTGAGAGGTTACAACAAGGGAGATACAATGCTAAGGACCGTGGTCCAATTGGGTGGGAGAGTATTAAGACGAGCATTACGGGCAACCCAATCCTCGTTCTTGTTATGTTGGCGATTGACAAACTTGATACTGATCCAATTAGCCTCTCTAAGGATATGAACGATGGATGAAAGATGAGCAAAACATCGCCATGGCCATGATGAAGGCTCACCACTCAGGGCATCGACAAGAGATTTACAGTCCGAAAAGATAATCGTCGAGGAGCTGTCAAGTTTTGCCAAAGAGCATGCTTCCAAGAGAGCATGAGCCTCAGCCTCAATCGGGGATGAACAAATGACCCTACCTGCCCGTCCATCGCAAATCTGTCCATGAGCATTAGTAATAACTATCCCAATAGCCGCCTCATGTGAATCATTATCACATGATCCATCATAGTGAATCCTCTTGATGGGATTACTCGGCGGTGGAGAAGATTGCAAACGATTGTCCCTAGGCATATTAGTAGGTGGTGAGGTGGATCCTCCATAAACAGGTTCAGTAGCATCACGATATGCTAGGATTGAGGTCATCGTGGGGGACAAAGCGATTCCTCGAAAGATGAAGTCGTTACGAGCTTTCCAGATATTCCAAAGGCAAAAAGCCTTTTGACGAAGAGAGTCAACATTCGGGGTGTCCCTCAATGAAAAGAGCCAGTGGCTGAAATTGATCGGAGGGATGAAAGAAGGCCACAGTTTTGACCAAGTCTCCTTAGCATGAGGGCAAAGGAATAGGCAGTGGATCAGAGTCTCCCTTTCCGCATCACAAAGCTGTCATTTGGGGTTAGGGGCACAATGACGGTGATGAAGATTGACTTTTGTAGCAATTGCATTTTGGAGACATCTCCAAAAGAAAAAGCGTATCTTTGGAGGAAGCTCCAAAGCCCACAACCATTTCCAACAATCGTCCATCGATGGAAAGTTAAGGTCTTGGATAATGGGGGATGAATTCTGCCGATGCTGTTCTCTAAGTCCATGGTATGCGGACTTGACCGAGAAAGCACCATTAGATGTGAACTTCCATACCCATTTATCACAAGAATCAGCTGGTCCAATCTTGATGCGTGAAACATCATTCGTTTCATCAAGAGAACAGTGGTTACGGACAAGATTCCAATTCCATTCTCTTGTGTCATCATTCATCCAATCACAAACCTTTGACCGTGGAACAGATGGGGTTCCAATCCTGTGACCCTCAAGGGAAGGGAGCCAAGGGTCACAATGAAACCATGTATCCTTTCCAGAACCGATAACTCGAATTGTCCCAATGTCCAAAGCTCGTCGAGATTCACATAGGCCCGCCCATATCCATGATGGAGAGCTCCCTTTACGTGCCATCCGAAAGTCCCCTCCTGGAAAGTAGATTCCACGAAGAAGTCGCGCCCATAATGCTTCCGGTTCATTCATTAACCTCCATCCCTGTTTAGCAATCAAAGCGAGGTTAAACAAGTGAAAATTTCGGAAACCAAGCCCGCCTTCAAATTTAGAGCTATTGAGCACTTCCCCTTTTCTCCATGGAATGGAGCGTTTCTTCATTGACCCGGACCAAAAGAAATTTCAGAGAAGGGAATCCATCTTCTTTTTTAAAGTTGTCGGAAGGAGAAAAACACTCATAATGAAGGTTGGAATCGCTTGAATAACAGCTTTAAGCAGCGTTTCTTTTCCACCATGAGAAAGCATGATACTCTTCCATGACTCTCCTTTCTTTTCCATTCTTTCAATTAGAAAGGCAAAAGTCTCCTTCTTTGAACGACCCCATTCAGTGGGAACTCCCAAGTACTTATCATGGTTGATGGACATTGGGAATCCGATAGTGGAGGTGATCTGTTGTCGTAAGGAATCCGGGGTGTTTTTACTGAAGAAGACAGAAGATTTTTCCATGTTGACTTCTTGCCCCGTAATGTATCCATATCCATTGATGATATTCATGATTGCTCCTGCCTCTTCTAAAGATGCTCGACCAAAGATGACTGTATCGTCAGCAAAGAGGCAATGGGATAGAAGAGGACAACCAGTCTTGAGCTTGAGACCTTTAATGTTTCCCTGTGAAATACCTCGATCAATCAGGAAAGAAAGGGCATTAGATAACAAGATAAAGAGGAAAGGGGAAAGAGGGTCGCCTTGTCGGATGCCTCTGGACGGGGTGAAGAACTCAGTTGGACCCCCATTAAGCAGAATCGAGAAGCGCACTGTTCGAACACACTCCTTTACCCAACTGCACCAGGTAGAATTGAAACCATAGGCATCGAGAAGAGCGTCCAAGCAGTTCCAGTCCACAAGATCATAAGCCTTCCTCATATCCATCTTGAGCATCATGTCGAACCTAGGTCCTTTCTTCCTTTTCTTGAACTGATGAAGGACTTCATGGACGATGATGATGTTGTCTTGGATCATGCGTCCTCCTGTGAACGCCGCTTGCATCTCAGAAACAAGGTCAGGCATCATGTCCTTGAGCCTACTTGACATGATTTTTGAAATCACCTTGTACTTGAAATTGCAGCAACTAATAGGGCGAAACTGAGTAATCCTCTCCGGAGATGGAATTTTCGGTATAAGAGCAATATGAGTGTCATTCCATCCAGCCGGAAGAGATGATGTACTGAAGAAAGTGAGAATCTCCCTACAAAGCTCTTCTCCAACAAGATCCCAATATCTTCTGAAGAAAAATCCATTGAAGCCATCGGGCCCCGGCGATTTGTGCGCCCCCAAAGAAAAGACAGCCTTCCTGATTTCCTCTCTCGTAACTGGGGCGCTCAAAGTATCATTCATTTCATGAGAAACCAGCCTAGGAAAGTCATGAAGGAGGTTGTTGTTGAACCTCGTATCCTTCGCCGTGAAGAGGTCTTGAAAGAAATCTTTAATATGGTGAGAGAGAAGTGAGGGCTGTTTAATCCATGCTCCATTTTGGTCCTTCAATCCCGTAATTTGGTTGGAATGGCGTCTAAAAACCGTAGAGTTGTGAAAGAACTTGGTGTTACGGTCTCCTTCCGCCAACCACTGAATGCGAGATCGTTGTCGACACATTCTCTCTTCATCTCTCCATAAGAGATCCAATTCCTCAAGCAACCCTTTCTCCTCAATTAGTACTTCCTCTGATCGAAACAAATTAGAGAGTGACTCAAGTCGGAAACGAATGTCCTTTTCTCTTTGATGTTGCGCTTGGATCATTCCTTTTGCCCACTCCATGAGATCATCTTTACATCTCTTAACTCGTTGCTCATGAGAGCCTTCCGATGCCCAAGCATTCATCACAATAGAATCATATTCTTCCTTTCCGGCCCAACGATTGTCAAACCGGAAAGGTGGTTTGTTCGAATTTCCCGGAGAATGGAATTCCAATCGTAATGCCCGATGGTCGGACCCGATATCACTTTCATGGAAGATTGTACTTTCTTCTAAAAACTCTCTCCACGAAGGGGTACATAGGCACCTATCCAAGCGTCCCTTAATGTTGCGGTCACCCCTTCACTTGTTGTTCCATGTAAAGTGCGGTCCTTTGAATCCCATATCGATGAGCCCATTCTCAAAAATGAAGGTCTTGAAAGGATCCACCGACTCCCTTCGAAGAGAACCACCTCCAAGCTTCTCATAGTCAAACAACATTGCATTAAGATCACCAATAACAACCCAAGGAACATTGACATCACTCCTAACCCTAGACAAAGACTCCCAAAACGCCCTCCTCTCATAAACAACTGAGGGGGCGTGGGTAAAAGTCATAAAAAACCCGCTACCATAATTGACAAATACATCGATAAAATTCCGACCGCTATCTAAAACTTGAAGAGAAAAACCAGCAGTCCACCAAAGAGCTAGGCCTCCGGCTGTCCCTTCCGGGTTCACATACACCCGTTCTTGAAAATTGTTTTGGATGCCCAAGTCTTCCAAAGTCTTCTCCTCATTCTTGGTTTCCATCAAGAAGACAATGGATGGGCGAAATTTCTTAATCATTCTTTTCAAATGATTTTCTGTCCGAGGTTGCCCAATTCCTCGACAGTTCCAACTAATGCAACTCATTTTCCACTTGGTGGCTTATTGCTGGCCACCTGCGCTTCAGATAGAAAGTCTGCTTGCTGCTCTTTTTTCCCCAGTTCCTGCACTGTCTCGTGAGACTCTTCTACCACTCCCATAGCCCTGGGTTGGTTTGATTCTTCCTTGGCTTCACTTTGATTCTTGCATTCTTAGGCTTTATAGAACCTTCCCCCAAGGCAAAATAGGGGCCCTCGAAATCAAGTGCATTACCATGTTTCCTCTTCTTCCATTCGGCCTGTCCTTCTTCCAGATTATGAGGCTGCTGGTTAGGACAATCCTCAAGTGGCTTCTTATTAAGGTCCATTTTCCTGTTTAATTCAAGCATAACTTGAGCCAGGTTGGGCTGAAGATGATTAGTTGAACATGCTGCATTTGAGATGTGGGCTTGGAAAGGCTGATTGTGGGCCTGGGAGTAATTGGCCTGATAAGCTAGATTGGGCTGTTGGGCATAAGCATGGGCCCAAGCTTCAACCTCCATTTCAGCCGAGAGGTTTCTTGCAATATTGTTGGGGAAGTGGCAATCTTTGTCAAAATGAGGTGAACTTGATGGTAGGGCCCCATAGAGCATGTAGTTGGCTTCTGGATGTGGATGTTGGAGCTGTTGGCAAGAAGGCCCTGACACCGATCTCGGATTTGGTGAGGAAGGATCCGTTGGGAAAGGATGGGGAGTGAATCCCGGGGGGACCTCGAACGGCGAGCTCCAAAACTCCATCGGATCTCTGGGACGACGGTGTCGATGAGATTCTCGGATTGATGCTGCCCGTCGCCGGTGAGCCACCTCCGGCAACCCAAATCTGATTTTGAGTGAAGCCTGGGGAGTTAGTGCTTGACCCTGCATCTCCTGGACTTTGTTGGATGATTCTTCCCCTAGGAGGAGGAGGGGGCCTTGGAGCATTCGTACCCGCTTTCATCCAAGGAGTGAATCTACCTTCAGGAGGACCAGCTACACGAGCTTCTTCATTAGCCTTTCTCCATGGACATTCCTACTTGCCATGACCCAGTCGACCACAATAATAGCACAGAACATAGAGCTTTTCATAGCGAAATCCCAGCCACTCTCGTTTCCCATTAGTGTGGAAGTAAGATCCAGGAGGAAGCGGGCGAGTACTATCAGCCTGCACAAAAACTCGAATGAACTCCATATACCGCTCAGGATTCAGCCCCCTCATATCAATCTTGTGGAACCCCTTGAACATCGCCACTGCAGATTCAACATTGGAAACTGTTCTTCTATGATCTGGGATGCCATGCACCTGAACCCAGAAGTCCACCATATAAAAATTGATATCTTGAGGCTTTATTGAGTCATCCTAAAGCTTGAGCTGGAGCATATTCCCAGAAACTGACCAAGGTCTTCCAGCCCAAGCTCTATTCATCTCCTCTTTGCTGCCGAAGGTGAACATGAAAGTATTCTTGGTTCTTGGTACCTCTTGAACCACCGGCTTGCAAAAGTGAGACCAGGCTCCGTTGATCATTCCAGACATAGATCGCCTGTTGATATCCCTCTCGGAGAAGATCTTCCCAACAAGGCGCAGACGGATGCCTTGTTGGAGCTGGGGAACCTCATGTGTGAAGACCGCATCATAGTCCCCCTCCTCCAAAGTCGGATCAAGGTTGAGCAGACAGTTGTTGCCTTGGTTCTCCATTTTGGGTGGGTGTTTGGTCTTTTGAGAGGGTATGACGATTAGATCTGATAGAAGTGGGGCTTTATGGTAGTGGGATTTCTGGATAATGAGATTTATAGAGTCATGGTAAAGCCAAACTCCAGATTTCTCCCGCATTAAAGAGATAATGCATGTAGGTGAGATTTGAGATTGATGGGATAGGAGGATCATAATGGCTCTGCCTTCTGATTTTGGGGTTTTGAATGGCTCGATGTTTACACAAAGAGGGTATATTTCTTTTTGAAGGATTGGAGGTTTGAACAGGCTGGGATTAATGTTATCTGTCTCTGCTGCTGAGAGAGGGAAACTAATGAAATAGTCCGAGGTATATAGCAATAAAGGGTAGAGGATGTTTGGTGAAAGTGAGTAGTTGGGGATTTTTAGTATGGCAGAGAAGATCATTTGGGGTCTTCAATCGCCGAAAGGATTGCTATTATTGATGGAAGAAACAACCAGCAAAGTAGCTTCCTGTTCTTTGCATTGAAGGCCTTTACTCCTGATTAGACCTGACTTGGCTTCTTCAGATGGTGAAACAAGGATCGACAAGCTATCTATAATCTTCTTCTTCTCCATTAGAGTCACTAAGGAGGCTGATGAGGCTCCTTCTGCGAAGGATACATGAGGGAATCCATATCTGGATTTTGAAAACAGAGAGAGTAAAGGTAGAGAGATAAACGGAAGAGAGAGAGTCATCATCAATAGGTCGGTTCTTATTGTCCCCAATTTTAACATGTGCTATGCAATGCATATATGATCAAACATCTTCATGTGAAAAAGGTTCTTATTCCAACTTCACAATTGATTTCTAATTCAGATTAATATGGCGAATGTGACATGAAGATTATTGTCCATTTGCATTTTTTACATTTGAGTTAGTTTGGGAGGTAACAACTTGAAAAATACAGAGAACTAATGTATAAGAGAGAGAATTGATTACATGTTGCGAGAATAAGAGTTGTATTGTCATTTTAATGTATGGAGGAAATGAACTCTACATAGGCTTGGATTGGTCTAAAGAAAAAACGGAAACTGTGGGTCAGAACTCAGAATGTCATTCATACTTTAGGGCTTTGGGTGCTTTTCTAGTTAATTTTATAAAGGGACAACATTTACTAGGGGTGTTCAAACGGTGTGGTTACCATGGTGATCGTTTTAACCAGTACTATTTGGATAATTTGGTTTGGTTAATTTGGATAATTAGTTTGGTTTGGTTAAAGTTTTTAGCTTGTTTGGTTTAGGTGATTTGGTTTGGTTTCAGACACTCCTAACCAGTCAAACCAAATTAACCAGATAAATAATTAGTCATATATCTAATATATACACATACTTAATACTTTGAATAACCACTCAAGAGTTAAACGTTCATCCCTTTTAGACTCATAAAATATAAAACTTGATATTGTTCCTATAATGTATATTTGTATATGTAGAGTGTAGACCACAACATATGAACGCCTAATTTAGATAAATCTCATATATTATGTTGGATGAAAATTTGAAAGCAAGGTCCTTTTCAGCCTATGAAAGTTTCTAAAAGACTAGTCAATTCATACAAACACAAAAATTCATTAACTCATACCATTGTGATAAATTTTTGCTAGGTGAATACTTCTATACTAACCGTAAGATAATTGTCTTAGTTGCATGTATTTATGTTAAAGGTAAACTATAACCAAATGTTGATTGTTATGTTTTATTCATTATATAAATTTTGAATTAATAAATTAACCGAAAATTTTCTCACTTAATGATAATGTAATTTTATATCGGTTAATCTGGTTAACCAAACCGATTAAACTTTAGTTTGGTTAATTTGGTTGTTGTATTAGTTTGGACGGTTTGGTTATGATATTGTATTCCATGGTTAATAAAATATAGCCTTATTACCCTAACATTTACAGACGTGTGAACATTTCGAGTTATTCATTGTGGAGGTTTAAGAAAGGCCTTTATAGTACCCATTCAATCTCATTGCGAACATCACAGTTTCCCTTTGCCTTGCCGGTATGACCTCCTTCAGTAGACTATTGATAGGTAATGTTACCTAATTTATATTACTATTATGATTGCCTATCATATACATATGATCCATCGCGTAAACTTATACCCAAATTTGCAATAACAAATATCTTGAACTTTATATAGGAAAACTTAGTACAGAGCAACAGTTAAATGAAAAATAATTGGGTTAATATATTTGTATGGCCTGAACTTTTACCATAATAAACATCCTGACCAATCTTTTTGATCTATCACATCCTGACCCAAACTATACATCAAAGTAACGAAATTGGCCAAACTCATTGTTTGACCGTTAAATTAGACGATCAAATGCGTTGAGTAACGGTCAATGTGCCACGTTACTGCCAAGACAACAATTTCACTTAAATTTTTTCATAATTTCCACTATTATCTTTTTTTACATTTTGAACCCAAAAAAAAGTAAACACAAAAATTAATCAAAATAAAAAATAAACCCTTCATCTCCTCTCTGATCCTTTCACTCCCCGCTGCCGTCTGTTCTCCAAAAATCATCTTCTGCTTATCCTTCTTCCATCACAATCAACTGTAAATGCCCCAAGTGTAAAGTCCAATCCATCTCCCCCGTCACCGCCCCGGAGAACCTGGGTGATTATCCCCAAAATTCCCAAATCGTAAATCAAATAAAATCCTAAGTCCAAACCTTTACTCGTCATCATCATCGCCAAACGGACGGAATTGAAAAGATTGGGTAATGGTCAGCTTCCCTCCATCCATGGCGGCGAGTGCGAAAATGGTGGTACCAAGGTCGATTTCCACAACTTTTCGCTCACCGCCCTTAGTGGATCGTAGCTCCTCTGCCCTCTTTCGGTTGCTCCCGCTGTCGTCGTCGAACCCTAGGGGAGGAAGGAATCAGGCTCACCGACAAACCAGCAACAGCAAGAGGCCCGCCGCCGGGCTCCAGAAGAGGCGATCGAGCGGGAGTGCGAGCGAATGAGCTGGAGTGAGGGATAACATAGAAGGATTCATTATCGGCGCCGCCGTGAAGTTTCTTCAATCCCTCCTGAGATTAGCGGATATGGAGATTTCCAAATTTGTATGACAACCGATTAAAGGTAAACCCTTCATCTCCTCTCTGATCCCGATCAACCGATTGACGACCTCTCTCTCGTTCAAATTCACCGGATCTAGGGTTTCTAGTTCTCGAATCGTCGTCGAGTTCCTGGATCCAATGGCAACGGAGTCGTCGGAGGGGGAAGATGAAGGGAAAATTACGGGAGGAAGCCATCATCTAGTTATGGTGGACGACCTAAGAGAGCTGGTGAACATTCAATTCCATTTGGAGAGGAGACAACAACAGGGAGTGAAAGGGGATCAGAGAGGATGGAAGGGTTTAATTTTTTTTTTTTGTTCAAAATGTAAAAGAAAAATGATAATAGGTGAAAATTATAAAAAAATTTGAAATTGAATTGGCAGTGACGTGGCTCATTGACAGTTAGTCAACGCGTTTGACCGTCCAATTTAACGGTCAATTTCGTTACTTTGATGTATAGTTTGGGCCAGGATGTTATAAATCGAAAAGATTGACGAGGATGTTTATTATGGTCAAAGTTCATGCCATACAAATATATTAACCCAAAATAATTACGTGGCCTCCACATTGGAGTGAATCTAAATCTTCTAAACAACACATATAAAGAGGTTCCCCTCCATCACCTATCCCATTTTCTTTTCTCTGGCCGCTGCGCAAAGCACGGAAGGACGCTTTGGTAATTTCCTTCAAATTTCAGGCGGCTTCTTGGAATCAAGTACATGCGCTACATGGATACCATAAACGGGACACTTGCCCTGGAAGCAATGAGCCCAAATATGCACATCCAATTATAGGAGTACCAGGAAAATGATCCCTGAATATGAAATTAATGGCGGATTGTCTCCCAAACATGTACTGGCCTCATTCTTTTATCCCCTTATCACATAGTTTTGTGTTATGGGGCTGGAATAATTAATCAAGTAAGTATTGAAGTTAATGAAATTAATGTTAATATATTAGTAAAACAGTGCCTATTTAGTCCAGGTTTATACCAAATATTATAATTATAATTATTCTAAGAAACTGAATTGTACACTAAATGATCTCAAAATGAGAATCATCAATGATGTTTCAAGTTCCTTGAATTCGAATAAAATATTTATCGAGTGATTAGGGGATTGTTTGCTTCATGGATTGTAAATTTAATAAGTAAACGAGATTTCCAGGTTGATTTAGAATTTCTTTTTAGGAAGTTCAAATCATTTATCAATGTCCAACCAAGTTATAAGAGATTGTTGTAAAGAGAACTCTATGAGGCACAACCGTTACTAATTCAGTAAAATTATTGCTAAGGCGATTTATGTGACATTCATCTTTGTTTCTGAATATCAAGGTATGCAACCACTTCTTACTTTATTGGTTTAGTACTTAAGATGTTGCTCTTCATCTATTAATGATTTGCCAAGAGAGAAAAGTTCTTCTCTTAAATTGGAGCTACCTTGATGCTACCTAATCTATTCTTAAAGTGACTGAGCCACTCAGGATAACATTCTTACAACGGTAAAAAATCCTTTCATATTATGTTGAAATTCTAAAATGCATCTTAAAATATTTTATTTTGATTATTTTTATGATAAAATTTGAGATCAACCTCCTATGGTTGATTGAGAAAAGATTGTTTGATAACCCTACTACTACATTACAAGAACTGAATTGAAGTGGAAGTATGCTAATAAGGTAAAAATCAGTTTGAATCTAATGATTTGTTATAAATGCTAATTATTTTTATTTTTTAGGCTAATTTGTATTTTATCCAAAAATAAGTTGACAATTTAAAAGATAAAAAACAGTGAAAGAATGAAATGAAGTTGAATTTCCACATCCAGTTTAGTGAGTACAATATAACAAATCGTATAAGTTAATTAAGTTTTTTTGTTTTGATGGAATATAAGTTAATTAATAGGTTTGAAGATAATCGATGATCACACAGAATAATGAAAATGATATTTCACGTGTATATATGACTATGTTTTGTTTTTGAATTTGATTGGCAAAAAATGTACAAAAAGAAGCGCATGTTGTTGATGAACGTAATAGAGTTGATGATGGAGATTATTGATGGTAAAGAAGTGACACCAGTCATTTTGGAAGACATTAAATATTGTGTCATTAAGTTTATTATGAGTTGATATTTTCTTGCGTGAGTTCTATCGTTTTGATTTCAACTATAACTAGCTTTTTACCCGGCCCGTTGATCGGAGAGATTTATTTTATATTTTATATGTTTAAATCATTTTGGATCTTCTAAATATTTTGTAACAGAGTTTGTAGTATGTCTATATTGAAATTTCCAATATTTAGCACACTCACTCGTGGTGCTTCGGTTTTCGAATAATAAATTATGCTGCTGTCACGTCCCATTTAGAACTTATGTCAAAATTCGTCAACCAAAACACTAATATTTAGCGTACGCCAACCTAAACCACACACACATATATATAGTTCAAGCTAGCGTGCGCTAGGAGTATGTTATACTCTTGCGTTCATACTACCATACGACCATTGAGTTTTACTATTTAGACCCGAATTAACCGGATTTTTTTGGGGCATTATACTATACCCTAATCTCTAATAGGTGAACTCTAGTCCCTAATTCTGTAACCTCTAATTTATGCACATACTTCGTAATACGTATCTTCTATCGTATCTTGAGTTAAATAAAAAGCATAGTATACCTTGATATTACATATATATATATATATATGTATATGTATATGTATATGTATATGTATATTACACTCAAAATTATCTAGAGATCTCGCTTTTACCCCCATAACGCCATCGAACCATTGGGGTTGTCTATTGTTCGATATATAATATAAAAAAGGTAGGGATGACGGGATCATAGCTCGATATGGTTTTATTATGTTCATCTTATTAGAGGTTATGTTCTTTTTTGCTTTTTTTTTTTTGCTTCTTTTTCATTCTACTTTAGCACATATGGTTGTGATCAGAAGTATTTAGCCCTCGAAAGGGATTGGGATTTTAGGTCCTTTGGAAATCCAATACACATTCATGATCCTCGAGTTTGGACGAACTCTCGACCAATGTTGTAAAAATTACGACTTTTTAGTGAGAAATTCTTAGTAAAGATACTTCATTATTGGATTTATTCATCCATATTGAAACTTGACACACACTGTAGCCCTCATGATGACTAAATTCTCTAATCTCGACTCATTTCCATTTTGGATGTTTGTTTTTTTTTTTATCCAGACACTTAAATTTAGTATATTATATAATATGTATCCATTGTTAATTTTTGAAGTTTATACTAAACCTCAACCGGTGGTCATTGTTTATATGTTGACTTAGAATCTCAATCTAAGGCACTCACACACACTATCGAGGATTTTTGGTCTTAACATGGTCGTTGAATGTGTAATTTTCAAAGATTTTATCGCTTATATATTAATAATTGATAAAGAGTGTCTTCAATACACATATTTTAAGTGCATTTAAAATGTCTTATCATTTGAACAATATCAGTGTATTTCATTTGATTATTTGCATTAACTTATTATCTTATACAACATATATTAATTCGTTTTTCTCGAGTCTAGACGAACTGAAAACCAATTTTGAGAATTGAGATTATTGGATAAAGATACTTGATTGCTGGATAAATATGTTTATCCCAATTGACGATCTTACTAAAAATTGCCAACCTTTATTTGGTAAATGCCTATGTTAGTAGTTGATGAAACATGATGTTTATCATAGATTCTGAACAAAGATTTTTCTAACATTCACATCTATTATTTATCAAGGAATCTTGTGTCTCATCCTAGGGTATGAAGTCAAAGTTTGTCAACAATCATACTTAAGTCATTTTGAAAATTTTGATTTATAATCGCCGAAGATAACTCCAAGTCTGAAAGAAAATTTCTTAGCATACGACTTAGAACCTCAATAGAGCTTGCTCAATCAACATGATATAGAGCAAATATTATTAATGTGAACTTAGGTCACATTATCAAATTATTGCACATGCGATTCCTCTTCATTTAAGGAATTTAAGGTAGAACATGATCTGAACGAATAAGATTTTTTTTTAAATAAATAACTGTAACTACTCGATCAAGATTATACTCTGACATTTTGCTAAATACTACTGTTTTATTTTATAGATATATATTGTACGAATAAGAGAGTGTTTCATTGCAACAAAATATAAAGTAATTTAGTTTATTTTTCAAAAGTAATTGAATGACAAATGTTTATTTTCTCTCTTTTCATATATATTTTCGTTTAATCGATTAAAACATAATTGTTTATGTGTATGTTTGTTTATTTTTTCATCAAAATGTAACTTATCATTGAATTTTAGTAAAAATGAGTAGAAAATTTATTTCATAAGGTTTAATCAGATATTTTTTATTTAAATAAATGTGATATATGTCACTCTCTTTTTTCTTATTTATATTTTGTTTATTTAAAAAAATTATTATTTATGTGTGTTTGGTTAAGTTTATCAACATGTAACTTATTATTAAAGATAAAAAAGAATAAATGGATAAATGAAAAAGAATAATTGGATAAAAAAAATGGAAGTATTAAAAAAGAAAGAGGTAGCTCCATAAATACATTAATAACTATTTTTTTGTTTGTAAAAAAGTTGCCAACTTGGCAAATTGTGGATCCTTCAAGTGCTTATGTGGCAAGAAATTTTTTTTGAGTTGCCATAATATATAGTATAGATAGATAGATAGATATAGATATGCATAGAAAGCATTAATTACAATGTAGTAATATATATGATGGATGCTATTTTTTTTATTTATTTTCTCAACAATTGAATAGTTTGACTAATGGTAAAAAGTAAGTAACTACATTGAAACCATTTATAATTTACCATTATCATATTGCAACCGGCCAACGGGCCGGGGTACAATCTAGTAACATTTATATCATTACCAAAACCTAACAAAAAATAAAAAATCTAACAAGTTTTTAGGAGATTGATATTATCGATTCAATATATATAATCTAGAGTTTAATATATAATCGACAGACTTGTGGTTCTAAATCAATTTAATTTTCTAAGAATAGAAGTGGTGATGCAAGTAACCTTGCTCGAATAGGTCTCTCTGCTAGAAATCTCCAAGTTCATAATGTCCAAAAATGTTGTCATAGAAACAACATGATTCTTGTATTCACCCAGTAATGATAACTAACAAAGGTAAAAACTGGGAACGTATCATTATGCAAAAACCAAGTTACTCTTTTCCACACACATTACATACACAGAATCAGAAACACACTCTCCAATTTTAACCGCGCCACCTATGGCCAAGTCATCACTTTTTTTTACCAATCCCAACCTTCACACAATCATCTGTAATTTTTTTTTTCTCGTCTCTCTTCAAAAGCCAAAAATCCCTCTCTCGCCTTACCAGCCAGCAAGCCAGCCTCCATTCTTCCTTACTTTGCCTCTGCCTCTGCCTCTGCCTCTTCTTTCTCTTTGGTTTCTTCTCTTTTTCATATATAACCAAATCTCATCATCGTCACCCCAAAACCCCCACCGTACCCTCCCCCGCCCCTTCCGTTACGTCCTCCGTCGTCTTCTTCCTCCCCCGAATCTCCGGCGCCAATTCTCTCGATCCCGCGCAGTCGTCTCCTTATCGCCGACGCCAATCCAATCCACCGTCTCGTCACCCGATCCAAAACCGAGCTGGCACACACCTCTCACTGCCCACCCGACCTCCGATCTTGCGGATTCTCACTGGATTCAATTCCTCCATTGAATCGCGTTTCTAGGCATCTGTTTCCAATAATAATTCGATTGAATCGGATGCTTCTGCGATTCCGTGGTATTTTAGAGATGAAAGGCAGGGGGACTGAATCTACCAGACCGTGAGAGAGAGAGAGAGACATATTGAATAACTGTAGGCGGAAGCGAGAAATTGTGCGTCCAGGAAAGTATGCCGGGACTACCGCAGAGAAATGAGCAATTCAGTAATGTTTCATCTGGGCTGTACTCAGTTTCTGGCAATGGATTCTGGTCCAAACACAGCGTTGATGTTGGCTTCAATCAGCTCCAGAAGGTGGTAGACTATGCGTTTTTTGCTCTGTGAATAGGAATCTGTTGGGATTGGATTGGATCAGTGCCATGTCGTTTGTCGATTTTTTTTTCCCTTCTTAATTTCATTGCTAGCTTCGGTTCAGCTGTGAGGGCTGTTCTGGGCTGGGATTGGATCTCGCTGTTCAAATTGGTTCTTCTGCTGGGTGTTTGAGCGTTGTTTCAGCTGTTTTTTGGGGCTTTTGGATTGCTCACTTTCTGTCTGCGTCCTTCCCAAGCTCCCCATTTATTTGGATATTCATTTTGTTCTCTACAATGGAATTAGTGTTTTGCAGCATTCCCATTTTGAAACATGTTTCATTGAATTAGGATATTGGGTAGCAGTCTAGTGGGCATTTGTTTGCATTCGATGTCAATCACTCAATTGTTTTTCTGTCATTTCTGTTCAGTTAATCGTCAAATGTCCCTGAGTGTGTAATCTTTCTACTGTCAGTGAGTGTTCTTCTGAAAAGTAACTTAATCTTCGTGTGACACAGTTTTGGAAGGAGCTATCTCTTCCAGCCCGGCAGAAGCTGCTGAGAATAGACAAGCATACCTTGTTCGAGCAAGCTCGTAAGAACATGTATTGTTCAAGATGCAATGGGCTATTGCTCGAAGGGTTTTTGCAAATTGTCATCTACGGAAAATCATTGCAAACGGATGGAGGTGCTAATCTTTCCAGCCAGAGACCACCAGGTGTCTCCAGAAATCAAACAAATGGTGCAATGAATATGATCACTGGGTGCCAAGATGAGATTCAAGACCCAGCTGTACATCCTTGGGGAGGTCTAACTACAACACGAGAAGGATCTTTGACACTCTTGGATTGTTACTTGTGTTCCAAATCTCTTAAAGGGCTTCAAAACGTGAGCGTGTTCATTTGGTGCTTCCTGTTTGGATATGCTGTTATCCCTTTTGTACCATGCAGCTGATGGGTATTCCTCAATATCAGGTCTTTGATAGTGCGCGCGCAAGGGAGAGGGAAAGGGAACTGCTCTATCCTGATGCTTGTGGTGGGGGAGGCCGCGGTTGGATTAGCCAAGGAATTGCAAGTTATGGTAGAGGCCATGGAACTAGAGAGACGTGTGCATTGCACACTGCCAGGCTTTCTTGTGATACACTAGTTGATTTCTGGTCGGCATTGGGAGAAGAGACGAGGCAGTCTCTTCTCAGGATGAAGGAAGAGGATTTCATTGAGAGGCTCATGTACAGGTGTGCATTTAGCAATTTCTTGTTCATTTTACCACCAAGTTAGATTAGAAAAGGGAATAATAACTGAATCTAGTAAAGTGAGTTCAGTTTTGTTTGGGTTCCGCAGTTACACTTTAGAGGAAAGGCGAGGTGAGAAGAGAAGAAAAATATTAGGGAAAGTTTTAGAGATTAGTGATATTGTTCGCTTGAATCTTTGGTCATTAGTGAGATCTTGTAGCTCTCATTTGTCAGAGAGGAACGAAACTGAAGAGAGTGCTGAATGCAATTATGAATTGGTGAATGGTAAGATATGGGAACAATGAGCAACTTGCTTTTCTGTTTTGTAAAGGAATCCAAAGAAATATAAAAGTTCATGAATAAAAAAAAGAAAAGAAAAGGAAACATCAAAGGTATAAGGCAAATCATTTGCAGGCATTTCTGCTGTATTGCTAACATGAGTATATGTTGTCCCTTGCCAATTGCAACAAGCAGTAGCAAGTAACAGTCCATTCATCTTAATGTGCTGGACTATCCCCATAGATATTATGAAACGGGGTTACTGTTACTGCCTTTTTTAAATTAAGTAGTCAAGAGAAAGGAAATGATTACTTCGTAACTTCGTTGGTATCCTAGACCATCACAACCGCCTTTCTAGCTTTACTAGTTCTTTCTGTCTCATTGAGGGATGAAGCAGTTGCTCGCATACTTGCTCCAGCTTTTATGTTCTTAATGCTCATTGCTGTGATTCTGCTTATTGCTGTGGAAACTAATGCTGCCTATTTTAACTGCACCCTCATCCATGTTACAGGTTTGACAGCAAGAGATTCTGTAGAGACTGTAGGAGGAATGTTATCCGAGAATTCAAAGAGCTAAAGGAGCTGAAGCGTATGCGGAGAGAACAACGCTGCACAAGTTGGTTTTGTGCTGCGGATACTGCTTTCCAATATGAGGTAGTAATATTCACATTTTGTTGTTGTGATTTATTGTGGAGTAACTTGCCAAAGATCTTGATTATGTGGGTTGCTAATATGAGAGTATCGGCTTCACTATTTGCAGGTTTCAGATGATATGGTACAAGCTGATTGGCGCCAAACTTTTGCTGATTCTGTTGGGACATATCATCACTTTGAATGGGCCGTTGGAACAGGAGAAGGGAAGTCTGACATTCTAGAATTTGAAAATGTAGGCATGAATGAGAGTGTGCAAGTCAATGGATTGGACCTTAGTGGCTTGACAGCATGCTTTATCACCCTAAGGGCTTGGAAAATGGATGGCCGGTGCAGTGAGCTTTCTGTGAAAGCTCATGCATTAAAGGGTCGACAATGCGTCCATTGTAGATTAATAGTTGGTGATGGTTTTGTTACAATCACAAGAGGTGAAAGCATCAGAAGATTTTTTGAGCATGCTGAAGAGACTGAGGAAGAAGAGGCATGTAGCACTTATGTTCCTTAGTATACTATTTGCTTTTGAAGAAATGTTTATGGTCATTTTAAATGTTGTTCTTCTGATGGTACTAAACCTCCATTACTTGTATTTTGGACTCTTTTAGGATGATGACTCCATGGAGAAGGATGGAAATGAGCTTGATGGAGAATGCTCCCGTCCCCAAAAGCATGCGAAGAGTCCTGAACTTGCTCGAGAATTCCTTCTAGATGCTGCTACTGTTATTTTCAAGGAACAGGCATGTGACATTAGCTGCATCATGATTTATCTTCCTAATAAATTTTTATTGTTTCTTTTCTTAGACGTTGTATCTTCCTAATAAGGATTTGCTTGGGCTCTCTAGAGTGTAGCATGATGTTTCTTGGTCATAGGTAATCAAAGAATATAGTTGTTGTGGGTAAGATAAAATTCATGCATATGATTTTCCATTAGATGAATGTGAAAAGGTGCCACAGTGTCTATCTGGTTGCTGCCTGCTTGTGAAATTTGAGGTTCATGCGTATGATTCTCAATTAGGATGCTCCATAACTCAAACAATGTGATGCTATTTCAGGTTGAAAAGGCTTTCAGAGAAGGAACCGCACGCCAGAATGCCCACAGCATTTTTGTCTGCCTTGCACTAAACCTGCTGGAAGAACGAATTCATGTTGCATGCAAAGAAATTATTACCTTGGAAAAGCAGGTGTGGGTTATTCTTGTACTTTTATACTTTCTTCTTAGGAAATGTTGTCTTATTTTAAGTGACTGTATTTGGATTTAATTTCATTAATATCATCACTGTAGATGAAACTGCTTGAAGAAGAAGAGAAGGAAAAGCGTGAAGAAGAAGAGCGCAAGGAGAGAAGAAGACTGAAAGAAAGAGAAAAGAAGCTTCGAAGAAAAGAGAGATTAAAAGGGAAAGAAAGGGATAAAGACAAGCAGAGTTGTTGTGGATCAAATGATGTTCCTCTTCTTCTCGATGCAGTCAAAGATGATGAGTCATCATTGACATTCAGTGAAGAGCAGCTTGATAATGGTGCCAGCTGCAGGGACTCCGTAAGTGAAGCAGGTGATAATAATTCTGTATCCAGTCCTGGATCACCTAATACTGAAGAACAATACTCAAATGGGTGCACCACTTTCATGGAGCAAAATGATTCATATGATTGTCTTGATGGCGAGGTTATAAATGGGAAAGATGGGAGTAATGGATCATTCACAGTCGAGCAATCTAAATCTTCTCGCCGGAGATTGAAATGTTGGAAAGAGGTCCAGCTGGATTCATCTTTGCGGTGGTCTGATAGACGTGGTGGGCCTATTGAGAACCCTACAAGGAGCATCAATGGATCAAGTAGACAACTAAGGATTAGTTGTGGTCCCAAGTCCAATACTAGAAACTGTGGTCTGAGGTTCAGTGAGAAATTCAATGGTCCCAACAACAGGATTGGCGAGAGGTACGATTTCCATTCATGTAAGCTGGAACCTTCACCCGATATGCCAAAGCAATTCTACCGTGGCAACAAGCACAGTCAAGCGGATTACTTACGTGAAGGTTGTGGAAGACCCAAAAACAAGGGGTGTACCACTGCAAATTCTTCTACACCTCATCATGCCAAGAAAGTATGGGAGCCCTTGGAATCTCAGAAGAAGTACCCCAGGAGTAATTCAGATAGTGATTTTACGTTGAGGTCATCATCGACTTTGAAAGGTGGAGTAGCATCTGACAGTGAGTTTTTCAAGTCATCCTCTGGTGGTAACTTTTGCGGTGGCAATTCTGGGGAAACATACTGCAAAATGAATGAAGCTGTAGATTCTAGTTCTGGTGCAAAGGAAGGAGTGAAGGATTCTGGCTCTTATGAGGAAGTCGACTCATGTCCTCCTAATGGCTCAACGTCTAATGGGACTTCAAATCCTAGCTCCTTGGCTAACACCTCAATTTCTGATAATAGTTCATCTTGTCTCAGTGAAGGAGATAGTATCACTGCTTCTTTATCTTCAAATCATGGGAATCTGGAATCATCTTCCACTTCAGACTCTGAAGATGCCAGCCAGCAATCAGAAGGAAGAGAAACTCCGTCTATCCAAGATGGTTTCCCTGAATGTCATGAACTGAATAAACCAGTTACAAATGGGCAGCCTTTAAATGGTATGAAGTTCTCTGGAGTCCTGCCTACGGAAGACTCTCTCTCAAAGCCCACAACCCATTGTAGTGATAATGGAGGAGTTCACAATGGCAGTAATATGGGTTCTCAACACCACCAGGGCATGTATGCCTCGGTGCACAACCATAACGTACAGTACCCGGTATTCCAAGCTCCTTCAACTATGGGTTACTACCATCAAAACCCGGTTTCTTGGCCAGCTGCAGCAACAATGCCATTTCATCACCCGAACCAGTATTTATACGCCAGTCCCATGGGCTACAGCCTCAATGGGAACTCACGCCTTTGTGTGCCATACGGTCCAATGCAGCATGTGACGACTCCTGTTTTTAATCCGAGCCCAACACAACAAGCTTACCAACCAGTTTCCAAGGCAACAGGTTTCACCACCGAGGAGTGGGCTCAGAGTTGCAGAGTGCAGGAATCCCTATCACAAGAAGCTCATGGGGAGAAAAGGGTTCAAAGGGGGAAGATTGATAACTTTGCCAAACTGAATACGGGAAACAATGATTTCTCCTTGTTCCAGTTCGGATGGCCTCTTGCACCTTCAAAAGGTGAAGGAGCCATTGGAGATGGCGCTTTGAAAGTTTCAGCTGCTGCAGCAGCAGCAGATCGAATCGAACAAGATTCAGAGCACAATAAGAGAGGAGAGACAGTTGTAGAGGAGTACAACTTGTTTGCCGCAAGTAAGAGCATAAAGTTTTCATTCTTCTAAATAGAGATTTCGGGGTTGGGTGGGGAGATATGTGGGTGGCTGTTTTCGGTTTTCGCAGTCCCTGTCTTCTTCTGCTTCTTCTTGGTTATTGAAAAGTTTGATGAGAGTAATTTGTATTGCAGAGGACACAATAATCTTCCTTTGAGAAAAATTGCCAATTCTTAGCAGGCTACACCTTTTTATTTAGTTGATTGATATTGGTATTTGTCTCCCGAGTGTTTCCTTTTTTACATTTTTTGGAAGTTAAAAGAGAATGATTCAAAGAATGGTGATAGACTGATGAATTGAGGTTTTCTGTGTGAGTTTCGGTAGCTGCTGCTGCTTCTTATTTGCCCCTTTGGGTCTGACCATTTATGAAAATATTTATTGGCCTTGACCTTTGAGACATGGTTCGTTTGAAAAAATGTCACATCAGGCACTGCAAACAGCGTTATAGTAGATCATCCCGTATAATATTTATGTGTTAGATTGTCAAAGATACTCGTACCCATCCAAATATGGATCAACATTTTGGGATAATTTCCACTCCCAGAACCAACATTCCAGAAATCAGTGAGAGAATAACTCTAAAAACAAAAAGGAGAGAGCTGAGTACAACAAGCCGACTGCAAGTCGTGCCAGCAAATCGCAAAACAGCAAGATAGACGGCCATGTTGGGCAAGTTTTCCAAGAACTTGGTCAAGCTTAGACGGCAATGCTTGCAAGAAATAGAGGAAGACGACATCGAGTGAAGCCCATTTGTCAGGAAGATGCATCAGTTCCCCTTGCCAGCATTTCACTCTGTGGCAATACTTAGTCTTTCACAAGAGCAAATGCGAAGAGCAAAAATCCACAAGTATCAACCAGCTGATCCACGAATTCATCTCCCGAACTCATCGAAACAAGAACCTCGGATGTCTCGGTGATTCCTCCAGCAGAGATTATCCGGGGTGATGTTTTGATGTGCATCTTGTGAATCGAGAAAAGACCAGTCGGTCTTTGTGGAGGAAATCTTGGAAGGTCAACACGGGTATGGCTCCTTCCTCTGAAGGGACTGCTGCCTCGATTGCAGACGAATGGCAGCAGAGAAAGGGGAGGATTTGGAGGCGAGATGGACAGCCGAGGGATGGTATGGTAATGGTGGATAGAGGTTTTAGTTGGCTATGGCAAGACGAGAGAAGAAGGAAGGTGGATGGGGAACCAGTGAGGAAGTTAGTGTGATGGAATTCATGGAAGAAGACTACTCCTTCCTTGAGGTTGTAAATTGTAATACTAAGCTCTCAATGTGAACTTTGTTGTCGAAAACATGCTTTCAGTGGCTTGCACAGGTAGAGATCATGAGCAACTATGTCTGGTCCGCTTAACTGCCTGTTAAAGAGAAACCAACTCAGATAGTAAAAGGTATGCAATGCAGGGTAAGCAAATTTACAGTAACAGAAAATACGAAGATTCGATGGTTCATGCACAAATGTTAAAGACCGCAATTCCAGTTTCCAGTAAAACTTGCAAAATACAGCCCAAAATTGAAACAGGAGAAGAATCAGGACAAGTCGTGCCAAAAGCGCTAAACCCTGAACTTTTTTTTTTTGAATAAAAAACTCTGAACTTAATGCAAGCTCTATTTATCGTATTGTAATATAAATAAGTTGTTCATCTTATTCAGCCAGAATTCTACCGTACAATAAGCTCAAGTAAAATGGATTACCATGTTAAAGTTTTGTTCTTTCTGTCAGTAGAATACAGGTTTCGAGTTACTGAAAGTTTGCAGAGTGGAGGAAAGCAAACGTGGGGATTCTCCGGGGAGCGCGGGACTTTACATTTGCGTTCGACCGTGTTTGGGCCAGCACGGTACTGGTACGCTTCGGATTCATTTATTTCGTATCGTGCTCGGCACGGCTTGTCAGTTCTTGTGTCGTGTCGTGTCAGCTCATTTGTTAATTTTGCTAGGCCCAGACAAGGTTTGAATCGAGTCGTGCTTATTCGTACTCGTGCGGTGCTTATATTCGTGTTTATTGAAAATGAAGAAAATAAAAGAGGGAACGAAAAGAAAGAACAAATTGGACGGAGAATGAAAGTATTAACCGAGAACGAATATATTCATGCCATGTTCGTTCTTATACTCAATAGAGTCTCGAAAATATTAGGATCCGCATGATCCAATTCATACTTTGTGCTGCCCATGTTCATGAAGTTTAGACCCAGTACGGTTCATAAATTTTTCGTACTCGTGTCGGACTAACCTATATATTTCGTGTTCGTGCTCGTGCCGGGCCAGCTCATATATTTCATGGCCGTGCGCTAACTATGCTGTGTCCTGCTAACAGTGGCGTTCCCACCCGTTGCCCATGTACACGCTGGACGGAGGCCGGACTCCGTAATTCGTATCCGTACCGTACGGTTGGGGAATGGAAAGAGACAACATGACTCAGTTATTATTGGGCTTCACCAGTGGCCTTCTGGCCTATGGTTTGTCTCCAGCCATTCCGTGGGACAGATATATGATTGGGCTTACTGCTTACAAACGAAACTAAGTAACAAGGGTATGGATTCTCTTTTGATCCTCATTAAACTGTACTCTACGGTCTGGTTGGACCATTAATACGGGTTAGTGGATACACCAGGCCAAATCAATGTGGTTTTAGTGATACGAAATAGTTCAATTATCTATCTATATATCTATACATAATATTATGGCAATTTAAAAGTCATTGTTTGCCACCTAAGCACTTGGAGAGTTCACAAATTGTCAAGGTGGACAATATTTTTATAAAAAAAAAAAAGTTATTGATATATTTATGAAGCTATCTCTCTCTTCATTTAATATTTCATTTTCTTTTATCCAATTTTTGTTTTTGTTTTTGCATTATATCAATGTACACAATAATACATAATGTATGATGAGTGACGTATATTACATTTGCTATTTCTAACTTTTGTTAATATTTATTTTTCTTTTACCCTATAATTCCTTTATGTGTTTGTTTTTGCTTTTACATTGTATCGATCTACACAACAATAGACTAATGTATTTGAGTAACACATGTAACTTCTTTTAACCCAAAAATATCTTATTTAAGCTTACTAAGATTTTTACTAAAATTTAAAAATATGTTACATTTTGATGAACAATTTATACAAACACACATATATAATAATATTTTATCACGGCAAAATAACGATAGAAAGAGAGAAAACAAGAAATGTTTGAATAGAAACTTGGCCAAGCAATAATAGCTAATTTCTTAAAAAAAATCTATTCATTCGGATTAAGTGAAAATATATTTACACAATGTATCCTAAGTTCAAATTCCTAATAATTTGCTCTAGATCATGTTAATTAAGCAAACTCTATTGAAGTCTTACGTCATATGTTAAGAAATTTAATTTTCAGACTTGGAGTTATTAAATGTCACAGATTATAAATCATAGTTTTCAAAGTGACTTCGATATGATTGTTGATGAACTTGACTTCATATTCTAGGATGAGACACGAGATACATTGAAAAATGGTACATGTGAAAGTTAGAGGAATCTTTGTTAAGGATGTATGTTAAACATCATGTTCATCAACCACTAACTTATGCATTAATCAAATAAAGGTTAAAAATTTTCATTTAATATTTGAATTTCTTGATAGACAAAACTAAATTCGACGATTGAAGCCATGAATAAACATGACTGTGTTACTTGAGATATGTAAACAAAAAACCTTTATAGTTACAAGAGTCTAAATGGATGACTGGGTTAAAATGAATAATCTTTAATAGTGAAGAATTCAGTAAGACAATTGTAGAAGTCATTTGGTTATATGTCTGTGAGCATGTGATTCAATACCAAATTTTTGTTGTAAAAAAAAAATCTGATATCAAAGTCTGAATAAAAATATTTTAGTTTGTAAGAGAAAGGTATATGTAGTTACATCGAGTTACCTTCGCAAAAAAAAGTTGTTTTTATATTCCATCCAACGAGCAGAGTTTAACCCTGTGTTTTTTTAGGAGAGAAAAGGAAGGGGAGGGATAAACTGGAAGGAAAATTACGTTCCCGAGAAGGTTTCCCCTGTTTCCGAAAGTTTCTACAGTACGGAGGGGAGGGAAAAGCCACTGAAATTTTACTGTTCTACTAGCCCCTCTGATTTGGGCGGAAAGTCTTACTTTTCCTTCTTTTTCTCTTTTTATTCCTTTTCTTTCTAATTTTGTTTCCTTTCTCTCTACGGTGGTGATATTTTGTCCACTTTATAATCCTATTTTTCTCTCCAATAATTTGGTTTCCTTTCTTGATATTCTTAACTAGGTTGCATAGATTAGTCACGAAAAAATGATAGTAAGTGATATTACCATAAAATGATTATTTATCTTGTATCATTAATTAATTCACGATAATAAATAATTATTAATGGAACTAGTAAGTAATATTGCCTATAAAATGCTTGTTTGTTTTATTTTCTATAATAAAACTTATCTGTTATTGATAAACATATTCTAAGAAAGATAATTATAATTAGTAATTATAGGCAAAGATAATTATAATTAGTAGTTGTTGTTAAACATATTTTATGTCTATTCATAAGCATACATATAATATTATTTTACATAATACGTAAAAAAGTTACTAGGTACATAAAAGTGTGTTAAGTTTATAGTAAAAATGACATCAGATTATGAAGTTTTTATAGAATGTATATCATTATATTGGTTTAAGATACCCTACCATATCGGTCGATCTGATTGGAAATACAGGATACCGGACTCTGAACGATAGCCGATTTTAGCGGTACAACATGGTTGAACCATCGGTCGATCTGATTGGAAATACAGGATACCGGACCCAAGAATAAATTTAGCGAACCAAATTAGCAAGAAATGATAAATTTGATCCGCTAGTAATAAGTAATGACAATTATATCAACACATAATTAAATTATTTATCATTACATAATCAATAAAATAACTTATCTATCACACTTCCCAATGTATTTTTTCTCTTCCACTTTCCTCCATAAAACAACATTTTTTCTCCCTTCTAAATTTTCTATCACCTCCCTTTCCTTCACCTCCGAAATGTACTTGAATCGACAAAAAAAGACAGGACGGGATGTGTTGGATAGGAGAAAGGATTACCTGAAACTGCTGGGGTCTTTGCTGAAGAGCTTCGGTAGGAATTGGAAAAATGAATTGGCAAGGCAGACGATAAGGAATTTAGGTTAAAAGGGGAATATTTATTTTGTAATATTAAAATCAAAAGAAAAGAAAGCGTAAAAACTAAAAATTAAAAGTTGAAAAGGAGATGGCGGTGGGTTAGATAATGATGCATGTTTTCATAATTATTCCACTGCACAGGTACATCTCCCGTATTCTTTTGAGCAAATTTATTTTATATTTTTAAATAATTTTTTTATTGTTCAACATAATTTAGGTAAGTATCTTATGATAGGCAAATATAAATTATTTACCGTTTTTATTTTTAATTTGATCACTCTCGTACTAGACACGTATAAATGTTTAATATCTGTATTTAATAAATTAAAATTGCTTACATAATACTGATCTATATTATACATAACGTCGTTTTACACAAAACATAAACTTATTAGAAAGAAATGAATGTCATCTTGTACATGAGAGCTAATCCAATTTTTATGAAAAAAATTTCAATCAAGTTAAAATAAACGAGATTTTTAAATCAAGAAATTTTTTTAATAATGAACCAAGTTAGTAAGAAAGAATACATTTGCTCCACTACCCATACACATTTTAATTATTTTACTATTACATAACCAATTAAATAACATATTTATCACAATTCCCAATACATACTTTCCTTTCCACTTTCCTTCATAAAACAACATTTTCCTTCCAATTTCCTTCACTTCCAAATCTCTCCTCCCCTCCCCATTTTCCTTCACCTCCCCTCCTTTTCCTCCCTTCCTTCGGAAACAGAGGGTAATGGTATTTATTAGGGCTGAAAGTACAATAAACTTTTTATATGTAGATGTTTAGCTATTAACAATAGATGTTCCTACAATACATCCTTGAATTTTTTTTTTGGATAGGAATACATCCTTGAATTTAAATGCATGTGAAATGTCACAATATTTGTATGAACAAACACAATTGATAGATAAATTATAACGACTGCACATTCAAATATTTGGAAAATTATATACTAAGGATCATGTTAAGAAGAGAACCATTGATAATATATGTAAATGTATTGGATTGAGATTCTAAACCAACAACTAGATAACAACCATGGGTTAAGGATTGGTCCAAACATAAAAAAATTAGCAATTGATACGTATTGTATTGTATAAGATACTAAATTTGAGTATCTCGAAGACAAATGTTGGCAGAAGATCCTATACCAATACTTCATGAACATCCACAATGAAAATGAGTGAGGATTATTCTTTGTATCAAGTTCCAATTGGGATAAACTAAATGTATCCAGTATTCAAGTATCTTTATCTAATAATTTGAAATATTATCAATTGGTTGAGAGTTCGTCGAAACTCGAGAATCACGAACTGGTATATGTTGTATAAGATAATAAATTTGAGAGTTTTGGATGACAAATATTGATATACAATTTTAAATGGGACGTGATGAACTTTCACGATGTGATTAGATAATCAAATCATTATGAGCGAGTGTGATAACTACAAGTATTAATATTTTCCAAAAATTTAAACATATAGATAAACTAATTAATATAAATAAATAAAAATTCTCCGGCCAACGGGCCGGGTAAAAAACTAGTGCTTAATCTATAATTTTATTCTATCACTCATCTTTTTGTATAACTTTTTATGCAATTTCACAATCGTTGCCCGATTGTCATTTTTTTACCTGTTTTATTTAGATTTTATGTAGTTTACTCATGTACTTTTTTTATATCATAATTTAATTCTCAAAAAATTATAATTAAATCAGTATCTTATTTTTTTTTTGAAGAATTGAACTTTATTTATCAAATCATAATCTCTATTTTAAACCGCACCATTCGTCTCACAAATGTTAATGTAAAAAATTGAAGGTTTAATTAATTATCTTTAAAATACTGATCTGAATGGCCGACTCAGCTCGATCAACACCCTGAATCAAAAGGCAGCTTTTAACCCAATGACCTCCACGAGGCAAGTGTAGATACTAAGATACCCGACATGACTTGAAAATATTATGCTTCTAATTTGTTAAATACCGGTCATAATAATGATGATGAAAAAACCACCAAAACAAAGTATGTTTCATGTTTGCTTAGAGGGAAATTTCCTAGAACGTGATCTGACTAATGCCTTGATTAATTTCTACTTAAAATACATTTATACATAATTTTATTATAAACTGAGACATCACCATGATTTGATGTCCACCAGATTCTCTTATGAACCACTAAGAACATAATAAATAACTAAAAACCAAATAAAGAATGCTGTAAAGCGACCGATTAAGACCATATTGTTTAGTCGTTTATTATGTGATCTATGTGAATAGCATCAATAATTCATTATTTTTTTTTAATTCCAGTTTATTAGTCGTTTACAAGTAATCAAAGTTTGAATTCTTGTCACAACTCTTCCATCACTTGACATCTTATAAATTCTTAATTTAAGTACACCAACTACAGTGCCCAAATGCCCATCCATGATCAAAGATTCAAAATCAGACAACTGTTTGTGGTTTCCGTACACAGTAGGCAACTACAAAACCAGAAAATGGTGCAGCAGAATGCATCTTAAGACCTTTCCCTTGCTGCTCCCATCACCGCAATGTGATTATGCGCCGTAACTGAGAGAGAAGTAGTACTCAAATCTATCACAGGTCCAGTGACGACTTAGCGTTAGCTGATCATGATCATTCAGTTCGATCAATCAAGCCCATCCGGGATCCTACTGAGAACAGTATGCTCTGGCTTGTGAGTGCACTCGTAATCCAGATGAACAAATGCCCGCTCGACTTCTGGCAACTCTTCGATCTTTATCTGCAACGATTCCCCAACTGCATGAGCCTCTTTCAGTGGAAGATCTTCTGGTAGCTCGATGTCAACCTGCAAACACGCGATTACTCACTCACATCCAGTTGCTTAGAGCGCAAGAAACAAAAGTTTTGTAGAGCTCATTGATCAATATGACTAACCTCAACAAAGTAGAGGACGCCGAAGGTATATGCCCGAACTGTGTCCACTCTTTTGATTTGATGGTGGTGGCGAAGAACAAGATAGGTTAGTTTCTGATGGAACTCTGGAGGAGCTGACTGTCCTACCAAAGAAACTGCATAAGGGGAAAGCAAATAAAAAGGTGAGAAATCGATACAATTCGATACCTAAACTTCTTGAAATTTACCCAACAACTCATAGAAGTTAGACCTATAGATGACTGAAATATCATTTCACATCACTCCACATAAAGTTTCCAATAGAATGATAACAAGCCTAACCATTTCCCACCTGTAGATTTACTTTTTATTTTTACAAGTTCAACAGTTTTATGTATACTTTATAAGTTCTTGATGAGAAATTGGCTCACCTGCATTCTCTAGTACAGTGCCAGACCAGTTTGTAATGGTGTACACAGCAAGGATGATAGCTCCGACTGGATCGATCCACCAGTAGTACATGTCGCCTAGAACAGCAGCAAGGAGACCTACTACATTCGTGACCACATCAAAGTAATGATCCTGAAGAGGAAAAATAAGCCAAGCAAATGACTTTCCAATTCAAGAGCCACAATATAATGAAACATAGAGGGATTTTTTTGAAGTAATACACAGCTTAGTAGCATCAAACCTTTGCATATGCACGAACAATTTTGTTCCCGGAACTTCTACAGTAAAACCACAATGCCAGTTTTACAGCGGTAGCTGTCAACATGATCCCATACAACCAAATCAACTGGCTTGAACTCATTTTTTCAGAAGGCTCATTCGTGATTAACCTTTGCGCGGCCTGAATTAGCACTTGGAACCCTGCAAATACAAATTGCTTGATAGGTTGAACATTAACCCTCCCAAAGAAGTGAATTTTGCTAGTGATCAATATGGTTGACTTTTTTTCTCTTTGTAAGTTGGGATTGGGAATGAAAAACGAGGATCTAGATCTCATATGAAGAAAGATTTCGAGCAACTTACCAAGGGTAGCCATGACAGCCGCGAAAATGATGATTCCAACTGGTTGCACCCTGAGCTTTCCGATTGGGTATTGGTAGATGTTGATGCTTTTCATTGACAAGTGAGTGAACCAAAGAATGCCACCAGCCATCAGATCCAGCAAAGAATCCAGAGTTGACGCGGCAATAGCTAATGATCCACTCTTTACAGTTGCATATATCTGCCAATTTTCACAGAATCATAAGAACACAAGCTTGTTTTCTTACTTCAGCACCACCAAAAGTGCTAGTCTGTGTGTTTTTCAGACGGGGAAAAGTGCAGGGGAGAGAGCAGAATGACCTTGAAAGCCAACAGAAAGACATTCGCCCAGTTGGAGATGTTCATTGCTCTCTCGTGCAGAGCTTGCTCCTGAAGAACGTGCTCCTCATTGATTGCCTGTGGTTCCTCCAGAGAGTCAACTTCCTCGAATGATTTCAAGGTAGCAAATTGCTTCTCGTAGTACTCTTTCTCCCCTACAGCAACACAGACGTTTCCAACCAGACAAAATAAGCAGACTCTGACTTAGTTTTCATAAAAAATGATCATTGGCAAAACAGCAAAGAATTTCCAGAACTTTTAAACAGTAGGCAGAAACAGGGGAAATTCAGGGCAGTAGTACCTTCAAGCAAGCCAGTGGCTTTGGAAAGGTCAAGGTCCAAAGGAGATTCAGGGTCAATCCCAGAACGCAGCTTTTGGGGCAAATTGGACAAGAAATCGCCTTTCAGGTGGCGAACAGAATGACGAGGACCACCGTGCCGTCCGTCCGCCGGCGTCAACAACGGCGTCTTGGCATCGCCCAAACCACCACCACCACCGCCTTCCATGCTCTGGTGATTCGTCGGCCACCCAGATTTCAGAAATCGATCAGAACCCAGAAACCAAAAATCGGAAACGGGGCTGACGAGAAAGAATTGACTAGTGCGGAAAGAGAAGAGTGGAAATCTTGATATGAATCCCAAGTTGGGAGTTGCGTGATCGATGTTCGCAAAGTTGTACAGGCGACGACGAAAACTGGTTGGTAATTTCTTATCTGTGGCCGCTGCCGTTTGGTTGTTTCCTGGGTCTTCTTATAGCCAGATATGAATCCTGGAGGATTGGTCATCAAAGGAAAAGAGTATTATTTTAATTACTGTATATATATATATTTTTTTTTGGGTATGGGAGATACTGGAATGAATATGAATCTACCGGCTTTGTTACCGAGCTTGAGGACAAGTGCGAGACCTGAAAGTGAAAGCTCAATAGGTGGGCATTTTAATGAAAACCAACATTCGTTCTTTATCCTGTTCACGGGGCAGAGGGCGCCCACTTCCCATCTCCTTTCCTTTCCATGTCCATCTCCATTCTTTGGATGCTTGCTTCCTAACTTTTTGTTCGTCAGTACTCATGTTCGGAATACTTTCAGAATCTTCAGAAAGAGACAGAGAATTCATTTCAGGTTAAAGTATATGTATTTCTTTTGTTGAGATGCAGTACCCTTTATGCATATTACAAGTTGAGTATAGTAAAAAATAATTAATTAATTATAGATCCAATCAAGTTACAAAACTAACAAATGTGACGAGCTGATGAAAGGTCCGTTAATTCTATGGGTTGTTTGAATGCAGCATTTGGATGAGTTATTTCGTCCACGTAGTGAGTCAATTGAAACACCTCATCTCTCTAAACATTTCAATTATCTCACTTTTTTTTTAAGTGGTGAAATACCACAATATGTAAATCATCTATCCAAACAAGATAATTGGACTAAACTACCACATTCCAAGATCAAATATTACATGAAATGCCACATACCTAAATAATACAACATTTTGATTCAAAATAACCAAAATGATGCAGTATTTCAATCAATATCCATCGGTGGTGCCCGGGCTAGCCAAAAATAGAATGTGTCCTTAGAGTATGAGTCTAAGGGATTACGGATGACGTACCATACAATTTGTGAACAAATCTTAAATAAGTAGAATGATAATACGTCTACGGGGTTGACCTCTCTGTATTTTAGGGTAGATTGCTCGAAACACCTGACCAAGAGGACTTTTTCACTGGCCAGAACAACCACAAAATGATCGCTTCTACTATTTTTAAAAGTATTGGTGCTTTAGTATAACTTGAAGTTGTACCATAACGTTAAAAGTATAAATTGAAGTTGTACCATAAAGAAATTTTACAAATGAGTATAGATTCAACTCGAAGTTGTACCATAATGTTAAATGTATCACTTTAGGTTGTACCACAAAGACAAAAACTAAAGCATCGAGTTGTACCATAACGTTAAATGTATAACTTTAAGTTGTACCACAAAAACAAAAACTGTAGCACCAATGCTCTAAAGCATTCCAAAATTCTTTCCACAAAATATCTATGAAACTACTTAACAAACAACAAATACAAAGAAACATTATTGAGTAACAATCTTCTCATATTATTAACTATAGAGAAACCACTTATTTATAGAGTTACACAATCAAATCTCTTTTTTTTTCTTCCTCTCACTCTAGTCTTAGTCTCTCTCTTTCTCCTTTTTTTTTACTCGCAATCCCTTTCTTCCCTTACAAAAAAACTTTAATTAAATATTAAACATAATTTACATAAACTAACACACTTCATAATCCAACTAAAACCCTTATACCGAATAATGATAACAAAACTTCCTAAAATAATACAAAAAATAGATTAAGAACATATTAAACAATATGCAAACAGCTCGGATACTACTGATACTGTTATGCACCCATCAGTAATTAATTTCCTTTTAAATGAGCCCAAAAAGTTCATATATAAGTGGGGAGAATTAAAGAAATTTCCCCCCTTTGTTTTATTAAACGTCTCATATCTAATATCTTCTTCGCTTTAACTCATATTTCAATTTTTTTTTTTTGCACAGATGTAATGAGTTCGTTGTGCTCTACAAAATGATATTCATTTTCAATATTTTTTGAGAAAAAAATTCCATGCCTCTCGTTACCAATTGCATACCATATGTTATCTTCTTCGTTTTTAGATCGTTTTTGAAAATTTTTGCACAGCAGAAACAAATTCATCATGATCTATTGGATCTATAAATTTCTGGGTGAACAAAATACATGACCAAAAAATACCACACAATACCATCATGGAACGTGGTGGTATATTGTGGTACACAATATTGAAAGTCGTAAATGACAGTTAGTACATTCCTACTATCATGTATTCAACCTTCCTACAGTCTTAATATGTTCATACCACCATGGTACGCTTTATACCATATGGTATGCTCTTATTTTAATACCTGTCAATACCATATGGTATAGACTAGTAAAAAATGATTCAATTTTTTTTGTTCCAAAAATATATCAAAGTGAATATCATTTTGAAAAATATGATAACTGCGCAAAAGAATTTAAATTCCAACTTAAAACGAGTAAGAAATCGTCCGTTATAAATTAATAGAGAAAAAATTAAAAATTTTATAAGAGAGAAAAAGAGACGCTAAAGTGATACAGGATGATTAAGTTATGCATAGTTATCAACCTAGTTACTAAGCGGATCCGCTCCATGCAAACCTAATTCTTGTAATTATCACGCCTGTTCGATCTCGTGAGACAAATAACTTCTTTACTTACTTGCTCTACCTTATATTAATTTTCTTTCTTCATTGTGTGGGGTAGGAACCGGTGCAGGTCTCAGCTGAGGTGAGGTAACGGCACTTGTCATCCTCCCCAAAACAGGAGTCAGGCAAAGGCAGCCTTCAACTTACCAACTAAGTGTTGTGTTGTTGTAATGCATGATCATGACCCACTCTTCCAATTGTTAATTAGCCACACACCCAAAATAAGTCTTTTTTTTTTTTGTAGAACCAAAATAAGTCTTTAATCCTTAGCTTTGGGATTTTGATGGTTATACAATTTTAGGAGGAACGCCTACGTTGACCAATGATTTTAATTAAGGGCAAAAGTATTATTGATCACACTTTGACATCTTTTTTGGCACAACCCTGTGTTTTATTAGGAAATGGCACTAACTTAATTCAGGAGGCCGGCAGTTCCGTCTGCTGTTTGCGGTACAAGGAATCAATATAATATTGAGACGATGAGAACTAGGTCAGATTATTGTGATTATATAAAAATGCAAACCTTAAATAAAAAAAAATAAAAAATGCAAACCTTGTGATAATTGAAAGTGTGAATTATTAAAATTTTGCTAGGGTGGGATGATGAACTGTTTTACCTTTTGGGGTGAGCCGGGTATGGGTACTCTCATCGGTCCGACTCGCTTTACTAAGCGAAAAATCGCTCGCTGCCCTTGATCCACCCTGTTCTCGACCTATTCTTGTCTAAAGTACATGTAATATTAGTCAAATTACTTAGGATTTTCCTTTTATTATATAATATTTTAGCTATCATAAATTTGTAAATAAGTGAAAACATCAATTTTTCCGATAAATTAACTATGTACATTTATCATATTATGGATTGGTCACTAGACAAACCTTGTTTCCATTTTTTGACAAAATTTCTTTGTAAAATTTTATTTTTGCGATGGTAATACTTGAACTAAAGGCTATTTGACAATCATTGATGATTTATTTCATCATTGAATACCCTTGATGTAATTCATGTGTCTGCCATTGCTGCCCCGATCTGCGTCTCATGATAAATTACCCGACTTGAACCAAATCTTCCATGGGGCAGGTATGAGTATCAAGATACCCACCCTAGACCTGCCCCATTGTCATTCCTAGGTGGAGTTAGGCACACTCTTCGCTCCGGATCCTACGAGAACTCTGAAAATTACATATTAATATCTATTAAATTTAAAAAAACGTATAAACTGAATACTTAATGTAATGTATTATAGTTAATATATATAAAGCACAAGTGAGTTTACTGTTGCCTATCACTAGCTTATTGGGCGGCTATACATTTTATATTTGGATACCCCAAATTTAATTAAATTACAACTTAGTCACTACATGTACATTTTGATACCCCAAATTTAATTTTTAATGTAAAATTATTGAACAATTATGTTTTGGTATAAATTTTATGAGATTTTCATACCTACAATTTTTTTTAAATTTCCATATTGTTCAAATGTTTAGATTTCACTTGAATCCATGAATCCAATTCACCAATCCTTTTGAACCAATTCATGAATCCAATCCACCATAACATAAAAGTATAAATTTAGTTTGTAGCATACAAGATGTTGTATCACTCAAGTGTAGGAGAAGATTCGACCATTTTATATTTGCTCATTACGTGAAACATTAAATAAATGATAAAAGAGAGACGACTCTAAAATATTGTAAGAGCGATTTTATAAACTCATTTAGTACATTTACGAGGTACTAAACAAACCTTTACTAACTTAATGTAACAAATATGCGACATCTACATAAGAAAGTGTCAATACATTACTACGGTGAAAATGGTTGGCTGTTATATTGACGACCAACTAAAAGAATTGGTCTAAACTTTTACATCATCTACTTACTCTTCGTTTCATTTCTCACTCGCCTTCCATAACCCTTTCATTATTTCTTTCTTTGCCTTCTTCATCTAAACCTCATTTTTATACAATTTTTATGTATTCTAATCACAAGTATGAATGGGCCCATACACGACTCACCAACAAGCTAGAGAATTAATAATTGAACCATGAACCACTAACTTTTTCAGCTAAATGTCGAGTGCAATTAAAAATAAATATATATGGTTATTACTTATTAGAAAGTTATTATTTTCCACTATGAGATTTGAAGGCGTGAAATTTTAAACGAGTTCCAGTTTGTATTCCTTTTGCTTCTCTCTAAAGTTTTTCTTTTTCACTTGAGCTAGAATTTTCAACAATTATACAGGAATGTTTGACTAAGTATCTACACATATCAAATAATAGTTTTCATTTTCTATAAAAAAGTAAATAATTATCATCTTAAATACATCACCATAAAAGGAATTAAGCCTCAACTATGCAAATTACAGTTCGGCACCTAAACTTAATAGATCTTTAGATTTATAACCTAAATTTATTTTTTTGGGATATAAGTCCTCAGCATATTGATGGATAATTACATTTTAGTACCTAAATTATTTTGTATGACATTTTGATACCTAAATTTTTGAAGTTCTGCAAATAGGTCTCATTTTTGTATGCTTAATGAAAACACCCTCAAATAAATGGGTATCCATACCCAACTCTTACACATTTAGATTATGGAAGTAAATAT